CCTCTAAGGAAGTTGTGTAATGGTTTGTAACACCAGTGGGAAAAGTTTGCCACATCCTTCCCGGTCCTTCACCAGGATCGGGTCAATGGATCTGGATTTTTCGCGGTTTCAGTAAAATTCGGGTGGTTTTGGGTCGACCGCCAACAAAGACATGTTTGCAACCATCCAAAAGATTTATCCTCTGGTAAACTAACATAGCTATGGAAAAACACGGTTTTTTTAATGGGAAAATCTACTATAAATAGCAATTTTCAATAGCTATGTTAAATTACCAGAGGGTAAGCCACCCAGATGTTTTTTTTTTTCTGGCAAGCTGGGGAAACATGGGCTTTACGGCGGTATCTTTGAATCCATGGTGGTCCTAAGGCATCCCCCATAAAATTCCTCAAAATTCCATGGGAGCTGTCAGGCACCGATGGGCTTGATGCAATGGCTTCTGGGAAAATCGGGAGGAGCCCAGGGCCTCAGGGGTTGATGGCAGTTGATGGCCATGGGTCCCATGGGGTCCATCATGGTCCATCGAAGTCTTCTCGTTTCATGGGACTCGCGATATTCATCATGGATACCCGGCCTGGTAATGACTAACATAGCGAACTGGAAAGATCCACCATACGATTAATGGGAAAATTCCACTATTTCGATGGTCATTTTCCATAGCTACGTTAAATTACCAGAGGGTACTTGTCACATATCGATATGTGCGACTGACTGTATCAATTTTAGTGGGATGAACATGATGAAGATCCATAGATTCCATAGATCTCAGCTATGACTTGAGGTTCACTTACCAGGGATGGGAACCGCAGCTGAGTGATGATATTTTTAGCACCTTTGAGGTGAAAAAGTGCACTTTGATTTGACATTTGTTGGATTGCATGGACCCCCCACGTTATCCAAATTTGTCCATCTCAAGGGGCAAACTCAACTTGGAGCATCTTGGAACCCCAAATTCATTTCCAATACTACAATCTGGGCAACCCTGACTGCCATAAACCTACCAAACTTGGGGATGGTTGAAATCCCGCCCATGAAAATGGTGATGACTTGGGGATGGCTGGATTAGCACCCATAAAGATTTTGATTTTCACAATTTTGGGGATGAGCTATTGAACATGGCCCATTTATAGTTGATTTACCCATTAAAAATGGATCTTTCCAGTTCGTTTTGTGTTAGTTGACCAGAAGGTACCCGGTATTACCACAGTGGACGTTTGTTTTGTGGGAAACCCCATGGTTTGGGACACCGGCATGGTACAGGAGAGCTGGGTCAGTGGGAGACCGACTGGACAAAGGCGAGTCGACGTGGACCAAGTGGGTGTCGATGTAAACAAAAACTGCTTTGATTGCGGGATTTTAACTGATTTAAGCCAGAAAACATGATCAACAGTTTTTTTTTCCGGATTAAACTTAGTAGGATTGGAAAAAAATGGAAGAGTGGCATATTTAAGCCATTTTAACCCCAACTTGCAGTTTTGAACTGAGAAATACTGAGAAATCAGTGTGACTTCCCCAAAAACTGGGATCAAACCAAAAAGACGTCTGACTTTGAGCGATTTGGAACTGATTTGAGCAACTGATTGGGTTTACTATCTTGACCGCTGTTTGGTAGAATCTTAAATCTTAAGTTTGGTGCTGGTTTCTTCCCTGTGAGACTCAGTAAGACTGTTCCGACACTGGATGGCTAGGCATGTAACGAATTTACATGGCAAGCCCTGGATGCTCAGCGTGAGACACAGAGGCAGCGCTGCGACATCTAGCGCGAGACTGAAAACAAGGTACCACAATGAAATCCACCACCAAAAAGATGTGAGAGCAGCCGTGACTGGACCGCGAAGACAAGCACGAGACACAGACCAGACAGCAGCTTGAGGCCCAGCGCAAAACACAGACACAGCGGCACCATGAAGCGAGACAGTGGCAAGACAAGTAGGCCAAGGCAAGGATGAATAGAAAGACAGAACAAGAAGGAGGATGAAGCAGAAATTAATATAAGACCTCGAGCGAACCTACTTGTCAGTGATGGGATATTATATAGAAGACGCATACAGAGAAAATACCTAGCCTAGGTCTAGGAAAACGTATTACTGTATTGACTTCCAGGCAGCTCACTCCAAGCGCAATGTGTCCCTGTGCATCCTGCCTACATCGCAGCACATAGCGAGATACACAAGAAACACATGTCATGCCTATGCGCAATCTGCCTAGCGCAGCAACACGCAGCTATTAGCCATCCAGATTTTTTAAGTTTGAAAGAATCCCGAAGTTTATGGGTGTCCTGGCTGGTCCGTTCCAAATTTCGGACTCAACGGTCAAGCATACGGTTTCCACCCTTTGGCCAGAGAGCCAGTGCAACCACGTTTGTACCCGATTGAGATTGACCAACGCAATATAACGCAATCACATGAAACTGATAGATCCTATGTGACCTAGTTTCAAAACATTTTTCTCACAGATTTTCTGACATTTTATCTGAACATATGGCCTTTTTTCAGACGTATATCTTTCAGGCATTCAATTTCCCTTTTCTACTTGGCAATTCTTGTGCGCCCTGTGGGCCCCAAAAAAATTGCTACCTTGCAATGGGGTTCGGGTCCGGCAAGCCACAGAGGTTCGTGGGCTTGCGATCATGTTCGGTTCCGACTAGCCCTAGCCTATATATATATATATATAGACATTCTGCTGATAGTGGGTGGTCCGGCAAGCACCTCGTAATAGTGCCCGGAGCTCGATAAGCCGATGAAAGGGGAGCTCACGCAGCTGCTGTGTTGCGCAGCGGCGAGAAGGCGCAGAACTGCGCGGAGAAGGAAAACCGGGACCAAGATGACCGAAAACTATAGATCCCACTGCTGCAACTGCGCTGCATAAACATCAACAATTGAGAAATTGTATATCTTACCCACGCATTGAAGCATGGGAAATAAAATGAAATATAAATGTTTTACTGATTCGCTGCCTTGAATTCGTGTAATTACGCGTCTTCAGCGCACAGCATGGTGGCATATGTTTCAATGCGCACGAGGCGCGCTGTCATGCAAGTGTACGAGAAAACAGCAGGGAACAGCTCAAAGTTTTCAAACGGCGTTTGCGTAGGAAATCCCATTGCCAGCATTCGCGGGGACAAAGCATTTTAAAACGGTTTGCTTAGCTTTAACTCGGCCGGGCCCACGCATCAGTTTCCAGCGGTCTTTCTGCATGTGAAGACATCAGAAACCCCAACGTGACAATTATTATTGACAAGAGTGTGCAACTACTGACAATCACTGCAGATCCACACCGAAAACTCCGAAACAAAAACAACAATCAGAAAGCCCAAAAACAAACAGGACAACAATCAGACATATTCTGGGCATGCCGACTCTTGGTGATCAGGTTTCCGAACATTGCTTTGTTTATCATAAGCTAATATAAGCTATGCACTGCGCACAGTTTTGCTCTTGGCCTACCATGCAGATATACCAAAACTCAAAATCCCGGATGGAATCCCGGTGCCAGAGCCCAATACTGTCCTGTCTGCTCCGCCAATTTCCATTTCTTCCACTCAAACTGCATCTGGTCGGGCAAGTACTGGAAAGATACCTGACTGCACGTGCGACGTGAGCATTTGGAAGACATTGCACAATGCCGACCGATTTCTGAAGGAATGACATGCTGGATCTCTAAGCCCTTTAAAAAAGACATGACAGCAAGAAGAGCATCATATTATGAAGCTTGGAATGCGGCCGCTGTCTACCATGACTTTGGTTTGATGTACAAGGCACACGCACCGAGCGGGCCATCTGCAAGTATGCTTTGGTTTCTGCAGGCGGCGCTGCAGCCCAGCTCTCCTAGAACGCTGCACCTGCGAGCTTTCCCAAGCACAGGTGACAAACAAAGATTGACGACTCTTCGACACAAAAAATCTGCAGGACCTGCATACAGGCAAGGCATGGTATGCGTCACCGTTGCACACCTCATACCGTCCGGGCTCTGGAGGTTCAGACATTGCTTGTGGCTCGCACCACAATAGTTTCCTGCCAGGCTCGCCGTTGACCCGGTACAAAATGCCGGTCCTTCATGATCTTGATTGAACCTGGCCACAGCAAGCTTGACTTTCAGAGGCTTCTCTGCAGCCGGAGGAAAGAAAACATAAATCTGGAAGGGCATGTTTTGAGAAGGGAAGTCAGGCATACGGCTCCGACAGATTCGTGTCCAACTTGTCACGTGCAATCAGCAAAGGTTTGTTGGATTCTGACGCACCGAGCCTTGCCCAGGAGGAATGCTCTGGTGAGCAAATTGCAGAAGATCTATGTGCCAAATTGGCACACAGCACTCGTACACTCCGCTTTGCTTGAGGAGGCGCTTGTAACTAGGGAGATCCAGCGCATGCACGCCGCCGAAGTCAATTGGCCCACCCACGGCCTGCAATCATTCATGCTAGCGCTGAAATTCCAAAAGCTATTCTGCTTGATTCAAATCTGGACAGCTGATAGCCAATGCTTGCTTTCGGGGGGAAAAATCTCTGCCTCAACAGCTTTTGTCAGCTTCGCCGCAGCTGCTTGCAAAGCAACTACTGTAGGGTGTGTCTCTATATCCCAGACGCTGGCTCCGGGCATGACTTACCCACCTTACGCTTTTGCTGCCTTGACATCACGTGTGTTCAACGGACCCTCCTCAGACCGGTCAGTTTCCAAATGGCTGCAGCAATGTCAGAACCACGTGGGTCATATTTTCGAAGACACACAAGAAGACAAAGTGCGAAACAAAGATTAAGCGGCCTTCCGAACAGCACATGATTGTGATTTGGCTACGCTTCTGTCGTGGACGCCAAGACCTACCTCTTTGTTCGTCTATGGCCCCTGGCGTCCACCGTTGAAGGTGGACGCCAGGGACCCTCTGAAACCCATGTCAGGATCCATTTAGCGGAAAAGATTTTTCCGGCGTCGTACGTTCAAATTGCTCAAATCAAGAATTTGGCAGCTCTGTGGCGTCCACCGTCAAAGGTGGACGCCAGGGGAGAGCAGTCATCCCGAGAAGAGCACCTGGCGTCGCAGCTTCTCTATGGTCAAGCCTAAAGCTAAGCACAAGATTGCCACTGGAACCGGAGTAGCGGCATTTGCATAAGCAATAGCTGTTGACCGAGGTAACAATTGGAGATTCACTTCGCCAAGCCGGTACCCTTTCGCAGCCAACACTTCTGAGCATGTGAGGTGCCTCAGTTTGCCGACAAAAACCTGATGCCGGGAAAAGTTGGATGCAGACAGATCTGTACACAGAACTGCACGAGCCGCGCCGGTGGACAAAGCAGCTTTGTGAAACAAAATCTGTGCATGAACCCGTGTCAAGTCTGCCTTTTCAGGGAGGTTGTCCACTTCTTTCAACTCTTTCTCTGACAGCTGTGGAAGTTGAGCTGGCAACCAACGATGTCGAGCTGCTTTTCCGAGCAGGTTAGTGTAGCCACGCTTTTTACCCCGGCCTAGCCAGATTATCAGGTTGTGGCAGATCTGCCACCGAAGAAGAAGTCCGTCTGGGGTGATTGGAACTCTCTCTGCCAGGAACGACCCTAAATGCCCCCAGCCAAGCTCCAAAACCAAGGCAACGGTGCTGCTGGCGCAGAAGCCAAAAGTTGCAAGGATAAAAGGGTGTCTCAGTCGGTCAAGGAACGCATGCTCAGCTGCAAGGTCTTGAACATCACTGTCTGGGGAATGCACCTTGACTGCCACAACGGCCGTGCCCACCTCGAATCCTGCCTCAAAGACAGTGCCATATGTGCCAGCACCCAGCTGCTTGCGGCAAGTCAGAAAGCCCCCCAGCCAAGGGAAGGTGTGGCGAAGGTTCTCCCCAAGACAGGAGCTTGTCACTGCCTCTCCATCACTGTCAAAGCTAGACACAGCCAAATGCTGCCCCATTCTGGCCGCTTCTCTGGCTCGGGCATTGGCCCGCACAAGCTGCTTTGCCTTTGCGTTGTAATGTTCCCGCAAAGCTTCACAAGATCGCCTGACTATGGGCCAGGGCGTGCATGCGAAACTTTATGACACCTCACCAGAATCAACGGCTTGCTGAAACTAAGTTGCGCACCACTTTGCCAGCATACCTGCCCGGTGGAACGTGACAGAAATTTGGTCATTCTGACATACTGGGTAGCCAATGCGCCCAGGGCTACTATGATGATCTCTGGCAACTGCAAAGAGAATTGAATGCACACAATACCCAAGCAAAAAAGGAAACATGCACACAGCTCGATTCCCAACAATGTCACACAGCAATGCCTGAGACCCTATAGGGTTCCCTACTTATCTTCTAGTGGTGACTTAGAGACGAGGTGCCCCAGAGATGCGTCACGAGAGGTGTGGGAGAGGTGGTGTTTGAGAGGTGCCCCGGAGAGGTGCCTTAGAGTTGCCCCAGAGCTGCCCTATAGAGGTGCCCCAGAGGTGCCCGAGAGCTGCCTCAGAGGTGCCCGAGAGGTGCCCTAGAGGTGCCCCAGAGGTGCCCCAGAGGTGCCCCAGAGTGCTTCCTTAGAGATGCTGACAAGGGAAGAACAAGTACAGGACAAGGGGAGCAAAAGTAAAGGTAGTGGAAGAGGTGATTGACAGGTGCTCAGCATAGGCACTAGAATATATATATATATATAATTTTATAATATTATATATATATGTGTGTTTTTCAAATATTTATTATATATACATAGCAATATATGTAGCACTTGGTTTCACAAATGCTCGCCGCGCTGCATCAAGAGAACTCCTGCACACGGACCAGCCTTCGTAGAGGATAGCGTTTTTTTACGGAACCTTTTCCATGGCTTTCTGCCAACACCGCATGCACTGGCTTTGCTGCAAAACAAAGCGAAGCCAGTGGCCGGCCTATGGAGCCCGCGCTCTTTGTTCTGTTTTCTCATTGCGCGGTCTCGAGCAAAGAGTGGACAGGGACAGGTCATCAGGACATGCTGTCCGGTTTGCTTCGAGCAACCTCAAACAACTGACATGTATCCAAGCATTTTATCTAGTATCAATACTCACACAGTCTACCTGCAAAAAAATAGGGTATCTGATATATATATATATATATATGTCTGACATGTTGCCTGACATGTTCATCGACGCAGAGATGGAAAGAGTCAGAGAAGAGAAGAGAAAAGAAGAGAAAAGAAGAGAAGAAGAAAGAAGATCAAAAAAGAGAAAGTCTCAGAAGAAAGAAGGTCCAGGTGCGCGAAAAGGTAGGAAAGTCGCAAAACGCTGTGTTTTTCCAATGATTTGTGGCTCCGGAGGGTCGAAAAGCAGGCTCGCTAAAGCGGCGGGTGCGGGGCCATGTGGTCAGATGAGAGATGAAAAGTTGCACGCCGTTGTGGCGCAAAGCACATTTCCAATTTCAAATGTACAATGCACATCAGCTTCGGAACTTTTTTGAAGTTGGGATGTCGAAAAAGTGCATTCCGTTGTGGCACGAAGCACATTTCCAAGTCCAAATGTACAAAACACAGCAGCCTCGGAGCCTTTTGGAAGTTGAGATGTTCAAAAAGTGTACGCCGTTGTGGCGCGAAGCAACATGTCGAAGTCAAAAGTGCAGAAAATAGAGGAGGTACGGAGCACTTTTGGACGTTCAGATGTCGTTCCGCGTGGCAGGCGCAACGGATTGTGCACCTTGTCAAAAGTGAGCAAAGCATGAGGGTTGTGTGGCAGTTTCAAAAACGATGGCAGGCGTGGGACATGTGCAGAGGATCCGGCAAGGGGCGCAGTGCAAGAGACATGTTCGTCAGAGCTGTTAGGAGGTCAGAGCGTTGATTTCCTGAGAGAGGTTGCATACTGGAGCATCAGACCTTGAGGTTTGCTGAGATGATTTTGTGAGACAGGCGCAGCACTTCGTATGACCTGGCATCACTTTTTCGTGGCAGGCGCAGTACTTTAGACAGGTGGAGTGGAAAAATCGCAAAATGCATTGGCAAAGGGCCGTCAGCTCTGCACTCAACCCATGATGTTCTGCCAGAAGCAGCACGGCGAATTGATTTTTCCTATTTCCAACCATCCATCCTTTTTGGATCTATATGGTTTTGAAGCTGGGCCACCAGCAAACAATCGGTACTTTGCATAACTATTTTGAATTGCGGCTGTACTTCAGCACCCTTTGGTGGTTGCTAAACTGAATTTAGAAGATAAGATTTAAATCCCAGGTTTGGGGTCAAACGTCGATCAAGCTATGGGAAACCTCTATTTTTTCAGGGGGAATATCGTCAATATCACCAACAAACATGGGGATGGCATCACCTAGTTTATTGGGATATAATGGGATATATAACAATATTAGTATGATATATACATATATTGAGATCGAGATGTATACTGAGACATACCCTCCAGTAAACTAACATAGCGAACTGGAAAATGGACAATTTATGAATGAATTACCGAACTTAATAGCATGGTGGATCTTTCCAGTTCGCGAACTGTCAAAAATTACCACAGGGTATTTTCTGAGAGCAGCCCGGTCAGTTTTCCTATGGAAATACGATGATTCAAATCGCTAAATCGGCGCTTCCATAGATTTCCCGTTCAGAACATGTCTGTGTTAATGGGGAAAATCATCAAGACAATTGTATAAATACATGATACATAAATTATATATATATATGATTATATGCATATCTATACGCACATGATATAAACGTAAATACAAATCGGTAAATCTGTAAAGTAAATAAATAAATATATATATATATATAAACTACAAAAAAAATATATATATATATATAAATTATACAAATATATATTTATATACTTGCCATTATTTGCCAACATCACACCAACAAAAAATGGGGATGAAGTCATGTTATGTTTTCGCCAGCTGCTTGCTAGGTGCTTTGTCTTGCTGGCGGCACTGCAGCCACTGCTGGTCTGCTATGGTGAGACCGGTTGGCGGGATGATGGCCATGGCCATGGCCATGGTTTCAGTGCCATGGTTTTGGGGATGATTAGCCTCTGGTAAACATACAAAAAGCTATTGAAAATGAAATGGCACATAGAAATAGTGGATTTACCTATTGAAAAATGGTGGATCTTTCCATAGTTATGTAAACGTTTACCAGGGGGTAGACATTTCGGGAGAATCTGATGTGTAATCAGGGCTTGGTCAATGTCTTTTTTATTTGAAATTTTGAACATCACCAAAACAAATATCTGTTGGAAATGATTTCCCCAATAGTTGGGTTTTATGTTTAATTAGGACATTTACCAAGCCCTGGTTTTATGTTAAAAAAAAATCATAGGGAAAGAAGATCCCGGAAGGGCTGCACTTTCGAGCTTGGTGAGCTAGAACTGGAATTTTTCTCCAATGAATCATAGATATCCATAGAACAGATTAGAATCAACAATCAGAAACATTCAGAAACAACAAAAAATCACCGATGAAAATTGATAATTGAGATGTACTCCCGGGGAAGCATCTGGCTAATATTCATAATCTCATAGAATTGGATGATGGGAAAATTTTAACAGGAAAACCCTACAGTATATTTGATGGTAAAACCCATGGTTTCCGGTTAAGATTTTCCCGTGAAAACCAGGCGTTCCCTGTCAAGATGAACGGCGGCGATCTTGGTGCTAGTGAACTCAATGGAGATAGAACAGTGCCTGCCGTGACAGGGGCCCATAATATCCAGAGGAATATTGACATTTTCCCGTTATTACCATAGTTATACCATAGTTATTACCATAGTTATTACCATAGTTATTACCATAGTTATACCCATAGTTATTACCATAGTTATTACCATAGTTATTCCCATAGTTATTACCATAGTTATACCATAGTTATACCTACAACAGCCAGGCATAGTACCGTAGTAATCCATAGTAATACTGTAGCTATACCATACCCTCTGGTAAACTAACATAGCAATGGAAAATCACCATTTTTAATGGGAAATTCCACTATAAATTGCCATTCTCAATAGCTATGTTAGTTTACCAGAGGGTAGTTCTATCATGTTCTATCCCATGCGACTGTAGTATCACCCATTTTTTTCCACCCCAGTCCTAGTCGTCCTAGTCGTAGCAGTCGTGCCGTGCCATGCCGTGCCGATGTGGGGAGGTACCTTCTCCATGATGATGGCGAGGAGGTGCATCAACAATATATGGTTCTTAATGGTTCTTACCCTCTGGTTATGTCAAAATAGCTATTGAAAATTGTCATTTATAGTGAGTTTTCCCATGAGAAATGGGGATTTTCCATAGCTATGTTAAATTACCAGAGGATAATGCTTATTAATGGTTATATATCATAACCATTATATACGATGATGCTTAACAATGTTTGAATAAATGGTGACCAATCTGGTTGGTGTTTTTTCCCCATATATTGCTAGCTGGAAAATCCAGTAAATGGAGGTTTAGTTCGCTGGGAAAGTAATCGAACTCAATGGGTGCATTTTCCAGCAAGCCATGTTTGATCATCGGATACTGGTTGGTGGTTTGGAACATTTTTTATTTTCCATTTCATATATTGGGAATAATCATCCCAACTGACGAACTCATATTTTTCAGAGGGGTAGGTATACCACCAACCAGACAAGATGGGGACAAAATATACATCTTGGTCCGCTCGGCCCACGTCCACTTTTTCAGGTCACCATTTTGGGTCGAAAATCCGCGGATGCTTCGGGATGCTTCTGGATGAAACAATCCGATTTGTTTTTCAATGGTCATAAAACGGAGTGCCAGACTATGGTAAACTAAGAGTTTGCGAACTGGAAAATCAACCATTTATAGATCATTTATAGATCATATTGTCCCATGAAAATTATATAAAATTATGGTGGTTTGAACTAGTTCGCAAAGTGTTAGTTTACCATAGTCAAGAGCCACCTGGACACACATACTAACCCGCGTTTGTTGCGGCGGTGTCCTCATGGCTAGAAGATCCTAAAATGAAGGATTTTATAGCCAAGTATAGATGGGATGTATTGGGATGTATGTTTCATTGCCATATTTGCTTACCAGAGGGCAATTCCAGTATAACTAATCGCAACTCATCACAATCTGATCACCATTTATGAGCATTAATCATTGTTATTGACCATTGTCAAACATTATTTTTGGTCAACAATATCTTTTTGAGGGCTTATTATGAATCGCACATCCCGGTAGCAACAAAGATTCGCCATGAAGACCCACGTCAGGGAGCTTCACCAAACGGTGATGGAGATGGAGATGGCATATTTTACCATGTGCCTTGGACGGATTTCACGGCGGACCCTGGAGAGCGAAAAACGTAAGTACCCTCTGGTAATTTGTTACATAGCTATGGAAAATCACCATTTTTCATGGGTAAATCCACTATAAATGACCATTTTCAATAGCTATTTTGGCATAACCAGAGGGTAAGTTTTTTCTTTTTTGGTCAACATCAGTTTCTTATAGATGGAGTCCTGAAGCTGATGATGCGAATGATGTGTTCCCAGTTTTTTTTTGGTTCAAAAAAGTCAGTGTACACAGAGGATTTAAGCACTCCAAATGTTCAAGCATAGTCTTGAAATCAGTCACCTAAGTGCCATAGTTCAGTTGCAACGCACCCCATAGGGCGGGATCTGAACGATGTGAACTTCAACCGCATTTTGTTGGAGTGTGTTGAAAAAATCTCAACTGTGGGATTTTGAACCATCACCTGAACATATAGATCATATAGATGACATAACTCAAAAATTCTTAAAACACATCAATTTCGCTGGTAAAACTGCCATTTTTTTGCTGGTAAAGCTACCTTAAATATGGTGCTGGCGGGTAAGTTACTGCCGCTAATCCCAATTCATAGCATCCACTGATGGTGGAGATTGCCCCCGGCCTGGTGGATCTTTCCACTTCGCGAGTTCTGTAAACGTTTAAAAGATCAGGCAAAGGGTAATAGAAACATGGAGATTTTTCCATGGAGATTGATGCAGTAAAAAAGACTTGGGGTTTAAGAAGTTTAATCAATGAACATTGGGATTTGAATGCAAGGGTTGAGAATTGGTGATATTAATCATGATCAATCCCTTCCCCTCAAAATTAAACACAGCTATTATTTTTGAGACGCTGGCACAAGGCTAACTTGACATCTTTTGTCCACATGAATTTAGGTATAAACTGATCATTAAACTGATCATACATTCTTATGGCTATGAGTCAAAACCTGGTGCCCTAGATACCCTATTCCATAACTGGTTTATGGATGGTTATTCCCCCAAATATGGTAATTTCATAGGTTTTGACACGTCCCCTTTTTTAATAACATGATCATGTACAAATATATGCCAACATATGCAAGCCGGACGAGATCACCAAAAAGGGCTTTTCATGACGCTTAAATGAGCCGGCATAAGCTGGCAGATGACAAATCGATTAGTGGATAGATAGATGACCGACATAAAACTTCAGGAAAATCATATTTACATATATATATATACAATTATATATGCACGCATAAAAAATGAATGATATATATATATATATCTATATATGTGCATATGTATTATACACGGGTACATGCTGTATAACAGACTGTATATCTATTCAATACATATATATCTCTACGTATACTCACATTTGTAATGTGCATAGCATATTACACACACACACAGCGATGAGGTCTGTGATCCGAAGGGTGCCTTCATCGGAATTCGACAAGGGCAGCTTGGCGTGAAGCGAGCCAGCGTGAAGCACTAAGAAATCCATGAGAATTGCGAGCAGTAAAACTGGTAGTATCATTGGATTGGTTTAATGGAAAATCTTCACCTGAAACCATGGTTTTTACCGTTAAATATGGGGGTTTCCGGTAAAACGGTTAAGATTTTCCCGTGAAAACCAATCCTGAACTAAAAACCAAGATGAGTTTTTAAACCTAATCAGTTGGATAATGTTGGAGCTATTCACCAAAGAAGGGACTTGGAAGCATCAAACACTGGGAATCCATGGAGTTTCGCCAAAAGCTGAGAATGACTCACTTGGAGGTCCCTCTTTCCGGGGCATCGCCAAACCACAAGAGCGAAGTTGGGAAAGCTATGGGATAAGTAAGTAGGGTTAATGCACTTATAACTGGGGTTATAACCCACTTACTAAGTGGGATGAGCCACCAAGTATGGAAAGATATGGAAAATTCTATGGTCTCAGCACATTTCTATGGCATCGTAACATAGCAGATCATGGAGGCCCAGCACCTTTTTCCTGCGCGGCAGGCCAGATGTGAACTCTCCTCGCACCGGGATGCAATTGCAGCCCGGCGAGGTGGGGCCGTGAAAATCACCTGGATCCATATGGATGGGTGGTTTATGTACTGATGGTGGTTTATGTACTGACTATGACATAACAATGACAAAACAATGACATTGCTGGTAACATTGAGCGGCTATTTTTTTTAAGGTTTAGGGTATCTCACTAGTTCACATGGACCAAGACTTGATCCCGACAAACCCAGGAAATTTTAGAAATGAATCGGTAAAATAATTTTGGTTGAACAAATGGGATATACAGGGAATTGTGATATGAAAACCAACCTTGATTTGAGTTCATCAAAGCAGGGAGATGATCATGTCAAGATGATTAACATCTTGGATTTGTCCCTCTCTGACTATGAAACGATGAAGATTTTGGGTGCGGGGCTATTACCAGCAGTTGGCATTCCAGATCAGGCAGCCAAGAGACTAGCGTGGACACCTCTGGTACTCAAACATGGCTTGCCAGACTCCCAATTTGTTCAATAGATTTCCGAGCAAGAGAGAGCGATCCCCATGGCCAGTTGGGGAATTTTCCAAACTCAACAATTTTCCCATCTCCCATGAGGCTCTTCCAGCCAAAAAATCGCGAGGTGTTTCCGGTCAGCGAAGTGGTGAAGACTGGTGAGGACCAAACCTATCTGAAACTGGCCGACGGCCGTGGATGGGTCCGTAGCACCCAGTCCCTGAGAAATCAAAAAATCTGGGAAAAACCCAGTAGAAATGGGGCTTTCAGAAGTGACAAAAGGGGGATTGAATTGGCAAAAATCAAGGTGTACCAGATTTAGCCAACAAAACTTGGGATTTTGTATGTGAGTTATGGTGGGTAAGGGAACTGGGTTAACTGGCTCACTGGGGAGTCGGGTGCCACTGTCAGAACTGAAATCAGCACTTTTTCTTTGGGATTGGGCCGAAATCTACCGATCAACATTTTATGTTCTAAGTCCAGGGTGAAAAGCCCAGAATCTGAACTAAGGTTCTTCACAAAGAATTAATCCCATTCTTCTGTCACCCAAAATAAGGGCCGCAAAATAAATAGATCCAGGATCCAGGGGGCTTGTGTTAAGCCAAGGGAAGGGATCAATATCAACACAATTATCATTGTTCAAATCCATAGTTTCACTCGTGACCCTGGCTTTGTGGCTGTAGATCAACATGTTAGCTTTCGTGGAAGGATGGAGACTGAGACGTCATGCTAGCCCGAGACAACAGAACCTAAATCTCCATACTTGCCCCTTTTCATTGCTTAAACATGGTGAAACCATGCCAAATCCCAAGTCTAGCCCAGCTTTTATGGCATCTCCATCTCCAGAAAAAAATCCCAAGCCGAATCCACGCGGCGAGCGCAATTTCCGCGATTTAGGCCTTTACCCATAGCTCCCGAGATGGCCGACAACTCTGCGAGAGATTGAGCCCAGAAGAGGCCTTGTTTGTGCTTTTTTTTTTTGGGGGTGAGATTGATGAGATTGGCCTGGAAAACCGCCGCTCTGGAAAACCTCGCGGCGCTTTTTTTTGGGTAAGATGTTGCAAGGTGTCGAACGGAACGTGGAGAAACGTGAAAACCGCGTGACTGGCGACGGCCACTTTTGATGAGGCCAGGGCCAAAATGCAAGATATGCCACGCGCGGGCCCGGAGGAATGGTCGATAGCGGCAGGAGATAAGTCGTGGGCGGAAGTCTCCAGTATTGCATCCCCCAAGTGAAATAATTATGTGTGAATCAATGTGAATCATAAATATTGGATCCACGTATATATAAATAAATTATGTGACATATATCGACTATAATAGCTTTTCTTTGGTTTTGGTGGTTGCGACACATAAGATTTATTCAACATAGTCGTTACTTTTTATGATCTTAAGTTTAAACAGTTTGAGATGATGCGTTTCACGTTCCTTGTTGACAACCCTCAGGTTGATCGGCCCATCAATCATTTCCAATCGGTGCTTTAGGACACTTTAGGATGTAGAGCATTTGATATCTTTCTATTGACGGTATAATTACTGTATATAATTATATATATATAGATATATAAATTATATATATATATATACATATAATCACACACACACATATATATATGTATACATTGACATATTGCATTACATATTGCATTACATATTGCATTACATATTGCATTACATATTGCATTACATATTGCATTACATATAACCCTGCACTCTCGCCAAGTAAACATGTCTACCATTTATCATATTATATTATTACATTATATAATATACATACATGACAGAACAAAGAGAGAGAGAGAGACAATATGTTTGTTATATGATTATGTATATATATATATACATGTACACAAATTATAAGCATTATATATCTCAGGGTATTAGGCATGAGTACCTCTTATATATATATATACATATTATATATACATTATACATGTATATTATATAAGAGACGCTTAGAACCTCCACAACCTCCAAATCCAGCTCGTCCATGGAACCATTTCTGAGGCCCTGGCGAGATGTACGCAGGGGTCATGGAACGCATGATGCGCGAGCGTCCGGTGCCTTCGGCGGGATGCTGAACAAAAAAGCAGGGGACGGATGGAAATTCTTAGGGTGGTTTAAGCACTTGAAATTTCTGGAGGTTGAAGATTTTTGGAGGTATACCCAAAAATGGTGGTAAAACCAGTGATTTTTTTTGGATTTGATGAACGACAAAAAAGGGTTTATACATTGGATTAAGCTAGCAAGAAGAGGGATTAAATGTGGCAAAATGGATGCGCAAGCACGTGAATAGATGCGTGTGATTTTGATTACAAGGACATGCTGAAAAATTGGCTTGTTTTTTTTCAAGCGGGCATTAGCAGTTGATTATTAGCTGTAGCTTATAATTACAGCCCTGGCGTCGTCGAACTCAGTGGAGGTCTCAGTCCGGCTCACGTTCAATCAGTTTCTCAATTATAGTTGAAGCATATTCCTGTAATTAGAATGGAACGTGGTAATTATAATGTAATTATAATTGTCAATTCCACAATAATAATTTTTGTACACTTCTCAATTACATAGTTTCTCAGTACATAACTACAGTAGTTGACACTCAGCTAGTTGGAAAGTCCTGGAGGCCAATTCGAAGGGTTGCTTTCAAGCCACCGGGACACCGGGGGAATCTACAGGATCTATAGGATGTACAAATATAAACTGACTCGCACCTTGTATTTTAGAACCCAACCAGATATGTTGGGCTTACATCTATTCTATATACTGTATATATATATACACACATGCGTATCTCTCTCTCTTTCCTTCTTTAAAACCATCTGAAGGAAATCAAAGTTGGTACCTCCGAAAAAAGATCGTCGTGGAAGATTCCCATATCCTGGGGCTTGGGAGATGGTTCTCCAGATGAAATGTCCAACAGAATACACCTTTCTGGGTACAGTAGATGATAGCATAGTAAAGTTTGAGTTCCCAAAGAATCCCCTTCCGTAAAGGGCATTCTGGGTAAACAGCTTTGGGGTAGCTTAGTGGCTTTATTTTTTGCGACATGGATGCAAATTGGAGACCCCTTTCTGCCCAGCAAAGACACCCATATTTTTTTTTGGAGGCTTATCTAAGATAATAAGCATCTACTCCCGCATATTTCCCGAACATTACTGATCAAAATCCAGTTTTGCTGCTGAAACTCGACTTTTTGCTGGTCAAGATCCCGGAGATCGACGAAACCACTCCATTTTTTTTCAAACTTCAGCTGGCTGGTAAAACAGTGGTTTTGGCCGGTGAAAACGGCCATTTTTCGGTGCCTAAACGCTAATCAGTTCAGCTGTCACGTCTTCGATTCTTCTTTTTTGCTAAGGAGCTGGTACAGCAGCTTCTGTCAGATCCGGAGATGCCTTTTGGGCGAAGAAAAAGTGGGAAAGTTTGGCCAAAAAGTGGGGGATGTACGGTGATATTCGGTTAATAACCGTTAAATACAATACAACAATTAATGGTTAATGGCTGATTATGTACGGGTTATATTTGATTGATAATGGTTAATAATGGTTAATAGCGGTTAATAACGATTGATTTTTAATAATGGTTAATAATGGCCATTAAGGGTTAATAATGGTTGAAATGGTTAATATTTGTTAATAACGGTCATGATCAATGGGTGATAATCTTAAAATGATCGTATGGTTAATCGATGTTAAAAGTAATGGTGAATCACACTCGCACTGTCACATCTGATGTTCACAACGGAGCCTGTGAAACAGGCCATGTTTCACTGGAAAGACCCATGGTAGTTACATCATCCCGTGAACAATCGAAGGTTACCCTCTGGTAAACTAACATAGCTATGGAAAATCGCAATTTTTCATAGGAAAATTCACTATAAATGGTGATTATCCATAGTTATGTTAAATTACTAGAGGGTATGTAATGATTAATGATGGTTGCCAGCAAGGGTAATAATTAGGGTTAAAAATTAGTGATGAATGTTTGGAGACCCCATGAAAAATGGTATTCAGAATGGTCATGCTAATCATTGCTAATCATGTTTTTTTACTGGTTGGTGGTTTCAACCATTTTTTATTTTCCATTTCATACATGGGATGTCATCCTTCCCATTGACGAACTCATATTTTTCAAGATGGTTATTGCACCACCAAGCAGTTTACATGGTGATACGTGGCCATCACTGGTGATAAATAATGATCAATGGCATCAATGGTGATTTTTCAACAACCATGGCGAGGTTTCCTGCATGGAACTCCCCGAACTTGATTTCCTGCACTTTCCACCAGCTTCGACTACGAGAGAATTGAGGGGATTTGTTCATGGGATGGTAAGTTACCAACATGATTTTGATGGAGTTTTTATGATTTTTGGTGAATTTAAATCGAGTCAACATGACTTTTGATGGTGTTTTGATGGCAATCTTATCCAACCATATGCATAGGATGATATTTTTCCATCAACAAATGAGGATTTACTGTAACCAAACTTATGTGGGATATATTGTGTGGAGGATATATCAATATACCCTCTGGTGAACTAACATAGCTATTGAACATGGCCATTTATAGTGGATTTTCCCATTAAAAATGGCGATTTTCCATAGCTATGTTAGTTTACCAGAGGGTATCAATATAAACCAACCTTTATCAGTTGTTTATCCCTGAGATGTGGGAATGAGACATGATGAGACCACAGGTGCCGGTTTGTTTTATGTGGCTGTATGATGGAAGAGGAACCAGCAAGAGATTTTTAAGGGGGTTCCAACTTCAATAAAAGCCTTGCCTGTGGGCAAGGCGGAATTCAATGGGATCTACACTCAATGGGATCATTTAATGGGATTTTCCATGGGATATGAATGGGATAAAAGGAGATTTAATGGGATAAACTCACAGTTTGCTATTGAAAGTGGCCGAGTTGTGGTGGATTTACCGAACTCAAAAATGGTGGTGATTTTCCAGTTCGCGAACTGTCAAATTACCAGAGGGTAACCAATGAAGATTTGGATTCAACCAATGAACATTGGGTTTGTCATGGTTTGTCCATTAAAAGTTGGTACCTGGTTTGCCACGCACGTTGTGCCTTGAGAACTAGTGCCCCCCTCCAGTGTTTGAAATCCTCGGTTTCACCATGATTTGCTTGCAGCATGCGCACACCCCATCAAAACGGACAAAGTCTGGGTATATTGATGAGTTACCCTCTGGTTATTTAACATAGCCATGGTATAGATGGCCCATTTATAGATGGTTTACCTATTAAAAGTGGTGATTTTCCATGGCTATGTTAAATAACCAGATGGAAAATCCAACATTTCATGGCGTGAATCTCTACTTTGAGGCATTAAACTGCTTTAAATCGTCATACACAGACTTAAATTGTAGGGACCAATCCAAAATAGAATTCTAACATATCCAAAATCCTGTGGACACAAAACTGTACCCCTCAATCATTTGCAAAGTTACAAAATAATTTTGGAGTCTGTGGACACAATTCTGTATCCCCACACTAATCTGTATCAATCTTAAATAGACCCTAATCATCCCTAACTTGTGCAGCAGCTGACCTCCCCACATCTGAGGGCTGCGGGGCTTGCCAACCCCGAGACCATGGCACCTTGGATCACCTTGGGCTTTGGCGAATTTTTCTGGCGTTTTTGGGGATGGGAAGTCCATCATGAAAAGCGATGAAGGACTCAGATTTTGGGATGGATGATGTAAGCGACACATTTTTTTGAGATTTCACGGGCATTTGACGGTCATTAATTTATACCGGGGGGATGTAATGGAAGACATATAACCTCATATAACCACACATAACCACACATACCTACACATAACCACACATAACCAATAATCTGATGTGGGTGATGTTCATTTTCAATCGGGTTTTAGCGGCGTTTTAAGGCGGTTGAAAGTTTCCACGAGATTTTCGGGGTGTTCAACCACGAGGAAGCCAAATAGGATTGGAATGGCAGCCCATGTCCAAGACGATCCAAGACGTCAACGAGTCGGTTTTGGATTTCTGATATTTATGATATTTATGATTATAGCCATAGCATTTCTCCACTTCCGCAAGCGAAAAAAACACAGAAACGAATCCAAGTCTCATTCTTTTTCGAAACCCTCTTTGACGTACACTACAAGAAGTGAAAAACATGAAGAGCGGGGACGACAAACCGAAGCTGGTGACTTGAGAATTGATCAAAAAAATGGAAACTGAGCGGGCATTCTTGGGCAGATCTTATTCTGGCTCATGCGCATCCAAATTGGAAGTGGGGAGAATTGCAGTTGGAGTGATATGAATGCAGTGCATAATAGGCAACCCATTGATGAATGATCATCTTTTCTCTCCGGAGGGGGGGGGGGCAGGGCGGGCCAAAAATGGCGGCAAGGCCAAATACTCTGCAATGCTTGAAGCAGCCAGCGCCTCAAAACTCCAAGGATTGAGGATGATTCTCTTGAAGTTCTCCTGTAACACCTTGAAAGGAATGCATGACGGGCACAAAATCAAAATCAAGTGAAATAGACTTAAAGATACTTAAAGTATATTTTCTATCATTTTCTTAGTCTATATGAAAAAAATAAGAGTGCATCATATCGCACAGTTTATAGATGCAGACGGATTTCTTTTCTTCATCCATCGCCAGGTCTGGTGACCATCTTTCTGGGGGCCAATGGGTACCCTGTCCCCCTTTATGATGTGTTTCTTCAGGGCACCTCTCTGAAAACCACTGGTTTCATTGTGACTGGCATGGTGCTAACTGCTAACTTAACTTGGATGATGTTGGGGCCCTAATGGATGATATTGAGTGATGCACGTCGAGAGCAGAAAGTATGGGAATAGTGGTGCAATTTTCAAGGCACACTCGGACAAATGAAACGACATCAACATGGGTCATTTGAGACTTGGATGTTTCAATAGTTGTCATACCCAATCTTTTTAAGCAGGCACCACATGGTTTCGCAGATGTGTGAACAAGAACGCAAACTGGCAGGTGTCAACTTGATTTTTTCCAATTTGCATGTGAACTATGTGAACTTTCATTTTTTTGCCGGTAAAGTTGGTGCTTGCATCCCAACTTTAGCGAATTCTCTCCAATTTTCCCAATGGCTTGACCACGGGCGGCGCCACGGGCCGGTGAGTAAGGCCCTTCAGCAAGTGCCACAGGTCCGGCGTTTTTTTTTTTTTGGAGGTCACAAACCTGATCGGTGCAAAACCATGGTCGCCCTAAAAAATCAAGGGTTAATTCATGTTAATCCCCATTTTTCCATGTTTTCCCTACCAAACATCGCCATGAATTGGGGTATAACGGTATAACCATATATAACCAGTTTTCAGACACACATATTTCGTTTCCGCGGATTTCCATGGGATTTTCGTAACCAGCATGGGGATTTTTCACAAAAAAGGACCGGGAGTTCATGAATGATCCATGGAAGATACCAGCTGGGTTGATGTGCCCAAAGGGGGAATAGTGAATGGCATGGGATACGTGTGACACTCGGCTGACGATGAATATACCATAATATACCTCACATTACCTCACCAATCTAAGCATTGTTTGTGTGTTGGAAAACTTCACCAGCAAATCTAAGTCTATGTGGGCCATCAAGATGTTTCAAGTACGAGCCGCACGGGCCATGTGGTTGACAAACGATGTTTGATTATGGATCCAAACGGTGCCCGGGCACCAGCGGGTGGATTTTCCATGTTGGATGTCATTCGAATAGAACAATTTTCCCATTTTTCCCAGCATGGACATCGTGGACTCAACGTTCTTGGAGATGGGTTGGTCATGGTTGGTCCAAAACTAGGAGGTGAACCTCAGAAATTCAAGATATTCAGTGCTGGAAACTGATCATATTGATCATCAAATTTAAGAAGGCACCACTATTTTCAGACAAACACAGGTAGAAGCTGAAATTCTGTTAGTCCGGTCATAGAAATAATATGAAATAATACAAGTTGCTTAAGAGGAGGACAAGCACAGGCATGTCCACAAACGAGGGTCCTGGGGACCTTGATCATGACCCAGAATTCCTACTTGTTGTGGATTGTTTTGGGCCATATCCTACTTAACATAACTTACCCTCTGGTAAACTAACATAGCAAACTGGAAAATCACCATTGTTAATAGGCAAATCAACTATAAAGGTGCCATTTTCAATAGCTATGTTAAATTGCGGGCAGGACTGAGGGTTTGCCCGGAGCGGAATGATTAACGTCTTAAGGAGGCACATTTCACTGCGCAGGCGCGATGTTTTATGACCTTGGTACATTTGCGCATTGGTATGTCCCAAGACGAATTTCTAGAAAAATCAGTCGGAAAAGTGAACCATCTGCGGACTTCATGCGTTTCGGCCTTTTCCCCTTTTTCACTTTTTTGGCCAGTCTGGAGTGTTCATATGTCATCTTGCCACAGCCATGTGCACTTCTCCACATTGTATGCATCCCTAATAGAAGTATGGTTATTTGTTCCATGGGGCATTTTGTGGATTTTATAACTTCTGTAAACCCTAAGCCTGAAGCCCTTTTATAAAGTCGTATGGTTTTGCTTGTTCCATCGGGCATGTTGGCATTTTATACCTGGAAAAACCGCTGGAAAAACCGGGATGATGGTTCCAATGGGTTGCTGGCATTGACACGAAAGTGGATGCATCTCCCAGCAATGACGATGAGTTTACCCAGATTTATATGCCTTTTTTTCACATCCAACAACATCCAAATACCTAGCTGGTAACGGTGGTTTGGAACATTTCAATATTAATTTTCCCATATATTGGGAATATGGGAATGGAATGTCATCATCCCAACTGACGAAGTCCATGATTTTTCAGAGGGGTAGGGCTCAACCACCAAGCAGGTTGCCCTAATGTGTGTATCTATCCGAAACCATCCAATGGATGTGGTCATCCAGAGGTCATCTACAATCATTTGAGTTTGCATCGATCATATGCTGTAAGGCATGGATGTGGGGGTTCATCCCACTTAGTAAATGGGTGAAACGAAACAGTTATATACATGGAATATCCCCACTTATGAGATTAAATGGGTCATATATGGATTGTAAATGGATCCTAAGTGGGATGCACATCTAGGCAGGGATTCGATTTTTTCGTGTACCACTGATCTCTGTTTTTTTTTTGCAAAGGGCAGATGAACGAGCTGAACGGTGTGCGACCAGGCCGGCTGTTGTTCGGGTCCGCGAGAAGGGTCGGTTTGAGCCACAAAAGATTGGGATTTATGGTGGTTTATTTGGGATAGAATAGAATGGTATCGAATATATTATATGTATATTAGAAAAATAAATATATCATATATATCATATATATATATATATATTAGTGCCGGAATACATATATATATATGTAAAGGATGTAAATGTGATGATTTAGGATGTGATTTATGAATTACAGCCACGACAATGGGAATTGAAACACCAGAATGGAGATATAGTTGGGATATCATGGTATGTAGTATATACAGTATTATATATAATAGTATATATATATAAATATATATATTATTATAAATAAATATAAATATACCAGTATATAAATCTGGTGATTCTATTAGACCTCTGAAAACTGGGGATTTTCCGCACAGGATGGGGCCCCCAGTCGAAATCGCGTTCAGTTGCCTGAAAAAAGTGGCTGAATTCTATGGTTTATCGTAGATATAACGAACTAGTTAATGTTTTTTTTTTCATGGTTTATAGACCAACATTCACATAACTGTTTTTTTACCATCCTGTAGCTAGCAAATTACTCCCGGAGTAAAGTCCACATACTCCCACCCAACTTATTGTTTGGGATTGCTTATTGTTTGTTTGGGACAAACCAAAACTTACTCACGGAGTACTCATTGTTTATTGATATCCCAAGCCAGTACTCGGGGTAAATCAACATAGGCGTAGACTATCCAGCTAGATTCGGGCAAGAACTTGAGGCTGAAAACCGGAAATCCCTAGGGAACATCATAGACCTAGACCTAGCCTAAATTCACATAGACCTTGTGAGATAGGGCTTGGAAGATTCATTGAAAAAATTCTGGTTGGTGGTTTGGAACCATGGAATTTTATGACTTTCCATATATTGGGAATAATAATCCCAACTGACTTTTTTCAGAGGGGTAGGTATACCACCAACCAGACATAGTTGGTGAAATATGTGGATTCTGATCCACAATGGGAAGCAGTTTCAACATGTTTCAACGGATCACAGTGATCACAGCTGGTTTCTGTGAAGACCTGGGTTTCGGAAGTTTCGGGGGCACATTGTACCGGAGAAAACCTTGATTTGTGCATCAACCTTCCTTGGATTGCTGAAACTGTTTGGTTGTGTCCTTTTCCCATTGGTTGGTTGCTTAATAGAGGGGTTGAAGAAACCCCTTTAACAGCAGGTAAATGATGATAGATCTGATAGATGGTATACCAGCCCCCAGCCCCTCTATTTTTACCAAAAGGACATTACAGAAATTTGCCTCTCTTTGTTGGTTTGTCTATTTTTGTCTGTTTGTGCAACTGTAAACGCCTAGATGTTCATTTCAATTCGAAATTACCCTCTGATAAACTAACATAGCTATTGAAAATGGCCATTTATAGTGAGTTTTCCCATTAAAAATGGTGATTTTCCATAGCTATGTTAGTTTACCAGAGGGTAACTATCAGCTCAAAAATGATGATTGTTGTCCCTGGATCGATCTTCACAGTGGCTATGGAAATGGTATGAAATGGCCTCCTATTTTTCCACCAAGCGGTCATCACCCACGTGACATGCAGAGCTTGTGAAAGACGTGGTGCTTGATGTGGTTTCATGCAGTACCAGCCATCCTGGTGAGTTGAAGGGGGGGGGCAGGGCGGGCAAACAAAACACAACGGCTTGGCGATGACGATGGCACATGCTGGAAACAGGGCAGGGCATTCTGGGTCATTCAATGTCATTCACCCCTTTTCAATGGGATGTTTAAGAGATGTATAAAAAACGCATTTTCACTACCCTCCGGTATCCTAAATTTCAAGTTCTAGGCGTTACATCCCCCATTTTTGGCTGTTGAATCAGCATTTCCAGATGCCACAGATCCCGTTGGTTATCAACGGCTGACCAACGGCTGCCGGTGGAGGCAGAAAGAACGGCGGATCTTCGGTGACGCCTTTGGTCGTCACTTTCGCTGGAGAAAAAATGAGCGGACGGTTAGACATGGTTATTCATATATCATCAATGGTGATAGATTATATATACATATATAGTAATAATGATTATATACAGTATATAATGCTTATCAATGGTCATTGATGGTTATCGATGGTTATTAACGGTGACTAATGGTCATTCAAAATATTTATTCATGGTTCTTAATGATAATTAATGCTTATTAATGGTTATAATATATCATAACCATTATATATAATGATGCTTAACAATGTTTGATAAATGGTGACTAATGGTTATGAATGGAATGACATTCTGGTAATCAAACATGGCTAGCTGGAAAATCCACTAGCCATGGAGGTTTAGTTCGCTGGGAAAGTAATCGAACTAAATCCGTTCATTTTCCAGCAAGCCATGCCATGTTTGATAATCGGATAGTACGTCCACCATAGATGTCCTTTTCCCAGTGGTTGGTTGAGAAAAATAGAGGGGTTTGTAGGTAAACCCCATTTCACAACAGGTTTCAATGATGATAGATCTTTTATAGATGGGATTAACCAGCTCCTGGCCCCTCTATTTTTACCTTAAAAGGACATTATATATTGATGTCCACAAGCCAGCGGTACATCGGATGATGAAAAAATTAGCGCCTCATGGATGATCTCCAAAGATGAGTTACTCATCAGCGGCTGTTAGCCTCCAGTCAACTAACAGTTGGACCCTGGTAGTCATCGGGGTTGGAAGATGAGTGAAACCTCTAAACATGGGTGATATTTTCAGGGTCAACAAGTTAATTTACCAGAGGGTAAGACGTCTAAACATTTTATGTGAATGAACATTAGTGATGGATGATGGAGGTTTTTTTTGATCAACTCATCCATGTGTAATCAATAACCATTTGTTATTAAGAACCATGAATAAGATAATAAGCATGAATATCATGAATAACCATTAGTTACCATTCATAACCATCAATGACCATTAATAAACCATCAATGACCGGGCCGGCTGGGAGCCTCACCCGGGCCATGGGCCATGGCTTCCATAGCTACGTGGAAAATAACCAAAGGGTAGAACTCAACTTCAGCAATCCGAAGTTGGCGATTTTTTTGGGGCTTGAACATGGAACATGGGTCCAGTTCATGTACCCTCTGGTTATTTGTTACATAGCCATGGAACCATCCACCATTTTTAAGTTCGGTAAACCATCTATAAACATAAGCAAACGGTATTTTGATTTTGACCCATTCCCATCTTCCCATTTTTGGCCCAACCTCAGTGGCTTTTTGAAACTCCTGTTGGAGGATGATAAGTTGGGGATTATCTAAAATATTAATCTAACATTGGGGATGATCATATATATATAATTATATATATATATTTTAAATGTAATTATTTTGATAATCATAGTATCATATTGTTAAAGGGTGGTTATATTATCCAATATATTGGTTACCGTACGGGTTTTGAATTCCGTTGTGGGGGTGGTGGGTTTCAAGGATTTTCCGAGAATCTATGGTTTCTGTGGTTGTTCAGGTGGAACTTGGTTGCCACTTTTCAGATGATACCCATGCACAATATATTACGTTGTGATCATATGTGATCATGGTATTCGCCAGTGTTCTACATGTATAATAATGTATACAAGTTCATTAGATGAATGAATTATTGAATTACTGTTTGTATTGATAGATGAATATTCACGAACATATGAATATACAACTATGGATACAGAACGGCATACATAATTATGTGCACGACTTATTGTACACAATTATGTACACATTCTGCACAATTACGTGTACTACTTATATACATATACAGCTAATATATACATGCGTAGATAATACATGATATAGATTATAGAGAATATATTAAATAGATAATATGTTTACATATACATGATATAGATAATAATATACATATAGTCAATACACACACACACATATATATATAATATATATATACATACATAGAGATACACACCATATTTTATGTACGCAACGACTTTAGTTTCTTAGAAAACTATGTGGTACCAGGCCGTTGTGAACTCCCCGCCGTTGTTTGAACCTCAGAGCATTTAGCGGCTGTCCTTCGCTGACCGGTGCTGCGGAGCCTTCGTCGTTTTTCACCATGGCGGAAACGGTGGAACCGGCGGCGAAGAAGCAGAAAACTGAGGCCACCGGGGCCACGGGGCCACGTTTTTCAACGGGTAACTGGGTAGGGAGGATGCCATTTATAAATGGGTAATCATGGATAATAAGCTTATATAAGCCATTTATATAATGGATTATAGTGCCATTAATCATGGGTTATCCAACTGGTGAAAATTACCGTAAAATAACATATTATAACAAATTATAACAATCTTTCACCCAGTTAACTGAAAGATTCTAAGCCATTAGTGACGTTTTTTGAATACCGCAACTGGTGAACGTAACTGGGATATTTTTAATGGGATCATCCTTAATGAGGTGACTATAGATACATCTAGATACCCTTGTAACCTTAGTAACCGGTGAACATCACTGGGATTATTTTCCCATTTATAAATCTGGGTAATAGTGATTAATAGTGGTTAATAGTGATGGTTAATAGTGGTTTTCATAGGCTATAAACCAACAACAATGGGAATATTATGGTGATCTGATGATCGATCTGGGTAAATTTCATCACGACCTCACTGTTCGACCGAGCCCTGGAAATCATGGTTTATGTTAGGGAAATCATCCCAGATGGCCGCACTATTCAGGTTAGTGAAATATGATAATTTACCCAGATAAATGGGATAATCATGGATAATCAGCTACTTGGTGACTTACCACTGACCAAGTGGGATGATTTTGCAGGGCTTGTGACATCATGTGGGATAACCGGTGATTGAAAAGCTTCCATATTTTTAGAGGATGAACATGATGATTTACCCAAAAATGGTGATTTCCCAGTTCGCTATGTCAAATTACCAGAGGGGAACACTGGATGATCTCTTCTGTGCAGAAATGGTACCAGAATTCAGCCGGGCAAAAAAGTGGGCTTGACTCGGTTGTGACATGCTTGAAATCATATGTTCCCAGGATATTGGTTTTGACATCCCTTTTCCGTATAGTCTTTTATGCATCCATTCGTATAATTCTGTGTATGTATGTTTATATATATATATGCTACCCTCCCTCCTGTACAAAACACCGTAAATACTAATACCAGTAAAAGTACAAAAAGGGTAGGTACAGGGGGGGGCACCATATATATATATATATAACATTGTATACCCTCCCGTAATTCAACGCTGTTAGTGGAACATCACCCTTTAAAAACGGACCGCGATTCAATTGATTCCCATCGTTTCCCTTTTTCACACTGGGGATCTTCTCCGCAGGACGGCGAGGCGGAGGTCAAGACCGAGCCGGAAGAAAAGGAGAAGGATGCCGTGAAGATCAAAGGCGAGAAGATCAAGGACCCCACCAGACCGGTCGGAATTTTGTGGATCCTGTGGATCCTACGCGGATCCTGGGGATGGGTGATGGGTTGATTTTTTTTTTGGGAAATTGCTTTGATTTTGGATTATCAATGAGTACAGATCCAGCATTTTCCAGCTGGGTAAATCAACTATAAATGACCATTTTCAATAGCTTTTTGTATGGAAAGATCCAGCATTTTCTAGCTGGGTCAATCAAGGAACTGACCAACGTTCCGAGTGGAGCAGCTGGACATGGTTCGGAGAATGGTGAAGATATGGGGATACTTATAATCCACCATATCTGGATTACCCTCTGGTAAACTAACGTAGCTATTGAAAATGGCCATTTAAAGTGGATTTTCCCATTAAAAATGGTGATTTTCCATAGCTATGTTAAATTACCAGAGGGTATACTCATTATAAACATTGGATTTTCTGATTATAGTCATGTAGAGTATAATCCAGAAATCCCTGGTTTATTGATGATGAGAAAAAAAACACAGATTTGTATGGGGATATCAACTGGCGGATCTTATGTTGGGGGTGTACAAACTGTAGTTTTAATGGAGACGTAATCCCAGCAAAGCTGGGAGGTTTTGACCATCAACAGATGGTATAACCCAGAAATTATATACGGTTGATTGATGTTGATTTCTAGTTGGGGTTGTATATGTATCTAATCTAAAACCAATGGGATCCGTAGATTGGTTGATGACAGTTTTTTTTTTTTTTTTATGCGGTGAAAACCTGTTGGTTGATGATTATACGGCAGTTTTGTGGGGATATAATAGTAATAATAATAATAGTAATAATAATGATGAGTGGGGATCTAATCTCATTGGTGATATAATGGTGATTTAATATGGTGGTATAAAGATTTGATGGGGACTTGTCTGGAAACTGCTGGAACATGCTGGATGATATGATGCAATATCAAGTCTGCAGCATGTGTTCTAGTGATGCAATATGATATGATATGATGATATACATTATATATATATATGTATAAATGTATATAGAATAGATGCTGTTTTGTTTTTGCGCCACCATTTGTGGATGTTCATAAGCCCATAGTAAACCCTGACATTATTGATACAAGCACAGCTATAGATTGATATGTTACACAAACACACATATATATATGTAATATCCCCTATCTAAATCTATCTAATAGATATGAATCAATGGATTGGCGAAAGGGAAAATCTACAGGAAACCATCGATTTCCCTCATATTTTCCTCTAAAATACAGGTGTTTCCCGTATTTTTTTCCCTTAAATCAATTCGTTGAATGAACAAAAACAGCAAATCATCTGCAGGAGGCAGTGGCCTTTCACACCAACGACACCACCATGAACGCTGCCTGGGCATTGGGGAAACCATGGCCACCCAAATTGAGAGATGTGAAAAACCGTGAGAAATTTAGCAGTGTGTCAAAACCTTGTACCCCTGTAGTTCACATCAAAATAGCTGGGATTTATGGATGTTCATCCCCCTAAAAATGGTATTAACAGGTATTGATCCATACCTATTTGGGGGATGTACTCAACGACATGTAGTGGTCAGGGGATGACCATGTTTATTGACATGATTTTTTTCTGGGTCAATTTCATCACGACCGAACCCTCTTCTCCCGAACCCTGGAATCATGATTAGTAAGGGGAATCCTTCCCATGTGAGGCCTTCTTTCAGGTTAGTGAAAAATTATAATTTACCCAGATATATTATATATAGAACTACAATTGATATATATATATATATATACGGTAACGACATTTAAACATGTGGAGGGCGGGCCAGACCGCGAGGCCCCTAGTCTAAAATACCAGGGTCGTATATGTTCAAGTCCGTATATTTAAATGTAGTATAATGTAGTTACCATATATATATATATACGTATATATATATATATATGGGTATGGGTCAATACCTATAGATACATTTTTAGTGGGATGAACATCCATTTACCAGCTATTTTGATGTTCACCAGGGGTACCAGGGTTTTGACACACTGCCATATATATATATTACATATATAACATGAAAGTCACACGATGGCTATCTCCGGCTCCACTGCAGGTCATGGTTTCTTCGGGCGGCAGCCTGCTGATGCCGCTGAGCGACGGCGGCATCCGCCATCTCCTCGCTGGGGCGCGGGCCAGCGTGGGGCTGAAGTCAGGCGCTTTTCGGTTTCGGGGGCCGGGAGAACGGAGGGGGCCCGGGTTTCGAACGGGGAAATGCTGAGGAAATGGCCAAATGCCATGAAAATGCTGGTTAAACACCATGTTTCACCAATGATTTTGATGTAATTTAAGCCATGAACATGGTTGTTTAAGCAATGAACATGATGGTTTTCCATCGACAATTGTGATGTACAGCAAGCACAATGGTGATTTAACCCACCAAGACAAGGAAGAAACAACGCAAACATCAGAGACATTCTGAAGAACTTGCGATATTTAACCATTAAAACGATGGGTTAAATAGTCATACATAGACGATGGGTTTCTCTGAAAAAACTCGGTACTCCAAAATCCAACGGTGAATCATCATGGTAAACCTAGTAGTGTAGCCAGTTCATACGGCCGTAGGGGGCCCATGCCGGTTAGACCTCATTTTCAGACACAGCTCAATGGAAAAATGAGCGATATTTTTCTAGCCATTGGCTGTTTTTACAGGGTCCGAAAATGTAGACCACTTGAAAACAGGGCTTTCAATTGGGTCCTTTTCTGTTAGACTATCCCAATTCGTGACTCTTCAGTTTCCTAACTTTTCAGAACTTACTTTTTAGTGACTAAGTGACTATGACTATGGGATAGGTCCTATGGTCCTATCCTTCAGGTCATTACCCTCTGGGAAAAACTAACATAACTATGGAAAATCACCATTTTTCATGGGAAAACTCACTATTTCTATGGCCATTTTCAATAGCTACGTTAAACATAACCAGAGGGTAACTCTCCCAGTCAGTGACTGAACATTTTTTCACCGAGCTCAGAGCCAATGATGTGAAATTCCATCGAAAACAGCGGACGCACGGGTCAGCCTGTAGCCCTTTTGTGAAATCATCAAAATAGCTGGGTATAATTTTTTTAATGGATGTTCATCCAAATTTCCAGAAATTCTATTTGTATCGAGGTATTTACCATGATTTACATACAATACATCATTCTGATTTTAAATATGATGTCCTCATCCACAGATTTTTATAGCCATATGACATCAGAATGTGTCATGAAAATCCAGGGGCCGACATCTGGCAGCCATTTTCTTGTGGTGTGTTGAAAAAACCATGGAAAAGACCTACCAACTTTGATGATTTTACTGCCGAAAAAAATCACCATTTTATTGGGTAATTTACTGCCCAATTTCGATGGTTCACAAGCATTTCAATTCCACATTTTCTTGGAGAAATCTGAAATCTCTCTGAATTTTCATCAGTGAACAGGATGAATCTGTAATTTTTGTGCTGAAACACCAAGTCTAGAGAAATTTCCCCCAATGTGATAAATTGAGGCCTGACCAAAAACTGCTACGTCGGAATGATGGTTAAGATTGGGGCAATCCAAAAATGACCTGATTAAACTAGATCCTTTTAGATTACCCTCTGGTTATTTAACATAGCCATGGAAGCCATGGTTCATTTATAGATGGTTTATCATTAAAAATGGTCATTTGACATGGCTATGTTAAATAACCAGATGGTAGTGCACGTCGATAATCTATCCATGTTATATATCTCATCTAATAGATATGAACGCATTTGTGAAAAAGGCCCTATCCATGAGCCCAATGTTTTTTTAGCTGCTTCCATCGCTGGTGGCTCATCCCACTTAGTACATTAGTTCACCCTAGTTGTAAGTGAATTCCACTTAGTGAGTAGGTTAGTCCACCCTAGTTGCAAGTGACTTAACATGAATCAACAAGTAACCCTACTTATTCCACTGAAAAAAACAGGGAAGAGATGCATATCCAAGTAGTCAACCGCGGGCCAGGGAGATATATGTTCGAAGCCAAGATCGTGGAGATGGTCATGCGTGCCGAGGATGGGCCAAAGCCCAGCCCAAAGCACGTGTGGCTCGACTGCAGGGAGGTCAAGTGGAAATGATCTATACCCTCTGGTTATGACTAACATAGCCATGGTATAGATGGCCCATTTATAGATGATTTGCCTATTAAACATGGCGATTTTTATCGATTTTCCATGGCTATGTTAAATAACCAGAGGGTAACTTATATGGAGGTTTCCAATCCATAGGGGTACCCTAAATAAATCATCCATTTTCGATTGGGATTGTCCATTCTAAACCATCCATTTTGGGTACCCCCATTTTTGGAAACCCCCATTTTTGGAAACCCCCATCTGTCAAATAAAATACATATAAATATGCTATATATATACACATCCAGAGCAGGTATAAACTATCGACATGTAATATCTATATCCAAATAACTATATCCATATCTATATATCAATATTATACGTATATATATATATATGATTGTAGACTAAGTATCCATGTACGTGTATATATATATGCACTGTATGATACTGCAAGTTATATATGATCAAGATCATTGTAACCAACCTCAAGTATCGTTGTCGCAGTGGATGGTCTCTGTCATCAACTTATGCTCACTCCAAGCCCGACAATTCATCGGTAGCGCATCATTATATGATATATGGAGGTTTCCTAACATAGGGCTACCCATGGCTACCCCCAAGTTAAGAACCCCCGCATATATACATCTGGTTGGTGGTTTGGATCATTTTTTATTTTTCCATATATTGGGAACAATAATCCCATTTGACTTTCATATTTTTCAGAAGGGGTAGGTCAACCACCAACCAGATAAGTCCAGTCTGCTTAGCCTATCTTATCCTAGTTATAAACTAAGCAACAAAAAACTATGGCTTGTTAGACAGATGGTTAATATACATATATAATATACTGGTTAAATATACATAAATAACTTACCCTAGATATCTCAGAATTTGTTGATGGACAATTTACAGGACCGCTCCCCCCTAATAAAATCATGGTTGAATCCTCATGGTTCATGACAATTTTCCGCACATTTTCCAAGGTTCAACCGCAATGAACTGACCATCAAAGCACCATCAATTTTCTATGGCAAAACCACGATTTTGGATAGTAAACCCAGCGTTTTTTTTCAGGTAACCCGCAGGTAATCCCCACTTTGTTTGACCGTTTTGAAAACACGGTGAAGTCGAAAAACTCAGGCTGAGACTGGGTTTCAGCACCTCTCAGTCGCAGCTGTTGATGGGCCACGCTGCCACGGACATCTGCTTCGACATGGAAGGCACCACTCATCCCGCCGTCCAGGGATCATAGTTGATATGGCTATCTGGTTGGTGGTGGAACATGGCTGGATTATGACTTTCCATCATATATATGGTTAATGATGGTTAATAATGGTGAATAATGGTTGGTGGTGACTGGAACATGGCTGGATTATGACTTTCCATCATATATCTGGTTATGACTAACATAGCCATGGGATTTCGATGGCCCATAAGAATAGATGGTTTACCTATTAAAAACGGTGATTTTCCATGGCTATGTTAAATAACCAGATGGTAATATATATTATATTGGGAATTTCATCATCCCAACTGACTTTCACTCCATGATTTTTCAGAGGGGTGGCGAAAAACCACCAACCAGCTATGGATCAGTCCATAGATACGTCATGAACCACAAAAATGACTGGGAATGGTAACCATACCACCTATAAAAATGGTGATGACTGGGGGATGGTTTATGATTGTTTTAGCCACATTCATCATCCATTTTCCTGGGAATGGTTTAGAAATCCCACCTATAGAAAAAATGGTGATGACTGGGGGTTGATTAAATAACTATGGATCAACATGTCCATACAATGAATTTAAGTTAGGGGATGAAGATCCATTTTCTGGCCAGCTATTTTGATGTGAAAGGTGTAAAAAAAACAGGGTTTTGATCATCATCCTATCATTAATGATGGACAAACACAATATATAATGAATCACAAAAATGACTGGGAATGGTAAACATTATCCCACCTATATATTCATGGTGATGACTGGGGGATGGTAAACATGATTGTTTTAGCCACTTCTGAATGATGGGATTCGTCTGATTGAATCATGGAAGATCAGAAGAGCATCTGATAGTCTTCACTAAGTGACCATCTCAATGACATCAAGTTGATGATGATCATCAATGGTCTTTAAGGTAAAACATGGCAATCTGGTTATATCTGGTTGGTGGTGACTGGAACATGGCTTAGAACATTTTCCCCTAAATCAGGTGGTCAATGATGATCCAGTCTGACGAACTCTAATATTTTTCAGGGGGGTAGGTATACCACAAAACATGGCAATTATTTTCAGATCTATTGAAAGACGATCCGAGAAGAAGACCTTGGTACCTTGGTTCGGGAACTGACCTTGGAGCTCGCCATGAGGGTTCCACTGGAGGCTTCCATGAACGATAAATCACCCTGAATCATCCAGTCTCTAATTATGAATGTTATAGTAAAGCTCAATAGGTTCCACCATTCCCAATTTTGCTAGAAATGATTAAGAAATTGGGTGGGATTTCAACCATCAGTCCATTTGGCTGGTTTATGGCTTTAACAATGACACAACCATGATTTCCCATTGGTTAAACCTGCTTTCCGGCCGCAGGTTTCCTCTTACACGACAAGAAGAGGAGCTCCTTAGGTTTGCCAGCAAGTCCCTGGTCGAAATGACGGAATCCTTCGAGTGGCCGGGTTAGTCAAAAAATGATGATCAGACAAGCAAAAAATGAGATCAGCTAAGGATGGTTAAGAAATATGTGAAAATCATCATTGACCAATGATCATGAAGCATCCGATTTTCAGACTGACCCGCTTTGGGTTTAAAAGACCAACTCAAGAGCAATGCCTAGTTGGCCCTGGTGGTGCATGGTTAGGCTATCAAGTGAGCCATTAAACCTACTATGAAGCTGCTGATTGGTGAAAATAGGGGTTATACTAATTGGATCTAATTGGTGTATTGGGGATCTCTAAAGCGGCAATAGAAAGTTTATGACGAAAAATCCCAGCTACGATGATGTTCCGAGCTTGAAACATCCATAAATCGTGCGGGGGGGATTTCACAGCTACTTTTGGAGGGTTTTCTCCATAGGGATGGTCAGGATCGACCATGGTTCGGGGCTACAGAATCTGGACCAATGGGGGTTTCCATAAATGGGGGATCCACTTAAAATGGATGGTTTATTTCATGGAAAATCCCAATCGAAAATTGATGATTTTAAAATTTAGGGGTACCCACATTTCAGGAAACATTCATATATATATATATACATACCACTCAACTACACACCCAACTTGGTGAATTTTTTTTCGCCAAACCAAGATTTCGGGCAGTTGTGATGTCGATGGATTCCTTCGAAAAAAATCATCAAATACATAGAGATTTTGACAAAAGCCATCTGTGAGTTTCACCCTATAAATGGTGGGATAACCATCCATAAGTCCCACAGATTAAGTGATATCCACCATAAATGGTGGGATAACCATCCATAAATCCCATCAACTGAGAAGATCACCGAGGATATGGCAAGGGCAATGTGTTGGCGGTGCTGATTAATCTGGACAAGACACTTGGACGAAGTTCCCATTCTGGCGTGCAGGAACCACGAAGCCAGGGAAAATGGGATGCAGTACAATCAATGGCCATGCAAGAGGAACCGATTGATTGGAGGTACCTACCATATAGAAGGCCTATGTTTTCGGGCTATGTTTTTGCGGGAATATCACCACAATTCATATGGCCCAAAATATGGTACTAAGGTTAGTATATACCTCCATTGAATCGGATCCTGAAGATCTCCCATTGATACAATGCCAATTTTATCCAAAGGTGTTCTCCAAAGCTGGAGATGTCCATGACCAAAGATTCGGTCGATTCCCCAAGTCACTGCATCCTCGACCCACCAAGAAAATATCAAGAACCACAACAAAAACAAACCACAAAAAGAGACAGACACTTTAAAAAGTCGCACACCTTAAGCCTTAAGCATCCTTAAGCCAATGCCAATGACTTTCCAAGGATCCAGTGACTCCAGTGCTCAGTTTTTTCAACTTTCGCTGCGAAGGGCCCCATCTGCTTACCAAACGCCAACATGGACATCATGGGAAGCACAAGGATGGCACTACCACAGTCCCCAGCTCTCTACCATTTACTAAGAAAACCATGGATTTCCAGTAGATCTTAGGCATTCCCTTCAACTGATCCTATGACATGAGCAGCTGATAAAAAAATATTGGTTCAGAAATAACGCAGAGTAAGGGAATGGCATCACTTGGATCATAGGCTAATGGATTTCACAATGGTCCAAGTTGTTCTCTAATTCACTATAATTACTTCCTCGAACTTTGCAAAAAGCAGCTGCAGCTGTTGTTGTTCCCCAACTGGTTGGAAAATCCTCGAAGCGTTGCCTGACGAGGGCCAGCCCGAACGCCTTCACCATTAGCCTCTTCAAAGATGGGAAAAGAGCTTGTGAGCCTCAGCCCTTGCCCGAGAGTCTGCACGGCAAGGTCCTGTTTCCCACCATCAACTACCGACGCCCGACCGGTGGAAGGGGTAGAATGGGGGACGGGGACAGGAAAGGTTTGGGTTTTTAGTTTTGTTTGGGAATGAACTTTGAATCAAGTCATCATTTTGTGGAGGTAAACGATTTTTGACCCGCACTCAAAATGGGTGGAGAGATCGATCTGTTCAAGAGCAAGGCGGATGATTTGAAGTCTTCTCGGGAAGACTTCATGATTTTTCTTGACCAATGGATGGATGGTACCCTCTGGTAAACGTTCACATAACTATGGAAAGATCCACCATTTTGTAGCTAGGTAAATCCACTATTTCTATGGCCATGGCTTCAATCGCTTTTTGTTAGTCATAACCAGAGGGTATAGCTTGTCATCCACATAACTATGGTTGCCATCACCATCTTTCATAGCCACAAATGTTCCATACTAGTTGGTGGTTTGGAACATTTTTTATGTTCCATTTCATATATGGGATGTCATCCTTCCCATTGACTAATTACCCTCTGGTAAATAAACATAGACCTTGAAAATCACCAATTTGTAATGGAAACTAATCTTCCAACCCCGATGACTGGCAGGGTCTATGTTAATTTACTGGAGGCTAATTATTGCTATGTTGAAACAGGTTTCTCCCTCTCTGCCTCTCGCTTTCTTTCTCTCCATGGAAAATGGTGATTTCCAATAGCTATGTTAGTTTACCATTGACTAATTATACCATATTTGTCATCCATAAGCGGACCATTTTCCATAGCTTTACCGTAGCGGCGATCCCTGGTTGCCATCCCGTCCCTCCATGGTTGCCATCCGATGCCCAATGCCAACTGGGGTGATTCGGGCCTTTTCCGAATGTCTTTTGTTGGGGTACTAGATGACATCCTATACATGTACATATCGTATCATAGTCATATAGTCATATAGTTATACAATGTTATACATATTCAACTATACATCATATACATCATATGTATAAATATATATATATATATATATTTATTTATACATATCATATGTATATATGTACTTGGAGCGGAAGTGCAGTTCCACTTAGTTTTCGTGGCCCCATATCCCAACTTATTGAGATTGAAATTCCCGTTGCAGCCATCAGAGTAACCTTTACTGCACCCCAAGCAGCCTCTGGTAATTTAGCATAGCCATGGACAATGGCCCAGTTACCCTCTGGTAATTTAACATAGCTATGGAAAATCACCATTTTCAATGGGTAAATCCACTATAAATGGCAATTTTCAATAGCTATGTTAATTTACCAGAGGGTATAGATGATTGACCTATTGAACATGGTGATTTTCCAGTTCGCTATGCAGAAAATTACCAGAGGGCACCCATTGTACGTACCACGTATGTTGCTTAATTCATCATTTTTGCTGGCTAAATCCCCACTGATTCATGGTTAAATAACAATTTCATACAATTTCCAAGTTTACTAAACCAATATGAGTTGGTTTATCCATGTTTATCATAGATGATTTCCTCATCAATACCCTCTGGTAAACTAACGTAACTATGGAAAATCACCATTTTTAATGGGAAGATCCACTATAAATCACCATTTTAATGGGAATCACCACTATAAATCATCCCTATAAAACCATATTAAACCATAGTAAACCCATTAAACCTCCATTATAATGGGTAAATCCCATCAATCTTTTCTCATCAAGTGCCGAGGAAACGTGGCGGTGAGTGCCAACTTTGGCTCCAGCCCTCAAGTGGCCTTACCTTTCACCTGCCACATGGTGCAGGAGCGCCGGGGTGTCGAAAGGTCGATGGCTGATGGTCCTCGACCATGGGCAAACCATGGGCAAACCATGGGAAAACCATGGGTTTTCCCATATGAAAACCAGAGAAATGATGAGTTCAATGAGTTTACGGTGGAAAAACGTGGTGATTCTTGTTCGTTTTTTGTTTTTGTGTGAAACATTCGATGGGCAATGATGGTCAATGATGGTCGAAATGGTGGGAGTTGGTGTGGAAAATGGCACATTGATTGATTAACAGCAACCATATCCTAACGTCTCCTACCAATGGCCATAGAAATAGTTGATTACCCATCAAATAATCACCATTTATAGTGGAAAATCACCATTTGTAGTGGATTTTCCCATGAAAAATGATGATTTTCCGTAGCAAACTGTTAGTTCAGAGGGTAACTATATCCCATTTCGTGGCCGCAAGCTTTCAGGTTTTCGCTTCGAATTGGAGTCATTTCTCCAGTCATTTCTCCAGAATGATGATGAGTATACAAGGGGAATTGGTTCCAAACAAATTGTCACTTACCCAGATCTGTGAGAAGAGATTTTTTTTATGATTTATCCTCATCTGGATAATAAAATCACGGGTGACCGGTGACATCCGGGGTTCGCTAAAAGCCATGGCTGGTGAACATGATGCCTTGATGGATAAAGCCATGGCTGGTATGCTGGTGAAAATTCACTTTTTCTGAAGCACCACATTGCTAGCTGCTAGTCTTTGAGACTTTTTGCAGTTATCCGGATGTTTATCTTTGTTGAATTCTAGTTTTTGTTTCTTAACATGAAGTTTTTTCTTGTTTAACATCCAAGTTCTTGTTGCTTTACATCCAGTTTTGGTAACACATGTTTTTCTATGGGATGTTGCTGAATGAACCGTACGTCTTTCCGCATTCCTTGGGTCGTCTTAAACGGTCCTCACAGTGTCGCCAGGATGCCTACGCAAGCCACAGTTCGGTCACAGCTGCGGACAGCAGCACCGAATTTGAGGTGGTCTTCCCGTGCTGTTTGCCGGTTTCTTCGGCGCAGTTGCGGGACGTTCAGGGTGGTATGGGGTTGTCTGAAAATAGATAAAATAGGGTACTTAAGTAGTGGCTCATCCCACTTAGCGAATTACTGTAACCACTACTTAAGTACCCTATTTTGGGAAGATGAGCCAATTATAAGGTAGTAACCACTACTTAACCGTAGTTATAAGATGTTCTGAGTGAATTAAGCCTACTTCTCCCACTACCAAGGATGCAACCTACTTCTCCTTTTTGTCCGTGGGATGAGTTTCTGTACAAACCACCAAGTCCCCCAACTCCAATCGCTATCGTTGGTGGTTTAGAACCATGGAATTTTATGACTTTCCATATAGTTGGGAATATTAATCCCAACTTTATTGTTCCATATTTTGGGAATTTCATCATCCCAACTGACGAACTCATATTTTTCAGAGGGGTAGGTATACCACCCACCAGATAATAATGACAATTGCGAAGCCTTCGAAGAGGTATGCATATTTGTGCTTCGCTTTCTTTCATGTGGCCGAAGTCATTCTTCGAAAGATTCAAGGTCGACAATAATTTTTTCAGGTTTTGCGATTGAAAGTGGGTCTCTGGAATTTCTTCAGATGGATCCATATTTATGCAGGCTTTTGGCAGGGAGCCATTGTATTTGTTTTCTATGCTTCATTTTTCTTCACTAGGTTGCAGATAAGTTGTTTTTTTTTGGTATCTAACTCCAGGACCAAGGGAATCGGAAATACATATTTGATAGCATCGCTATGCTCACTTTATCCCATACAGCTATAAATATGCGAATACGGGGATCACTCGAAGAAAACACCATTGTAATGATGTCATGAGATTTGCTCGCTAAAAACCGGCACAGTGCCTTTCTCCTAATATTTAAACATTCCCCCATAGACCATAATTTGTGGAACATTTGGAACCATCCAATGGGGGTGTTTAATGTTGGGGGCATCCCCCAACCATAGGAATATGATGGGCTAGATTACCAACAATATGACATATTTGGGTATGAAAATGGACTTTGCCATCCATTGGCATAGCCAATTCATGGCAAATTTCTGCGGGGTATCCATAGGCATCCCGTGCCATAAACCATCCCAGCTGCCTGGGAAGCATAGCTTGGGGGCAGATGGCCTTGATTTCCCCAAACATTTACGCGCAACCCGTTGTGATTTTAAGGCCATGATGTCTTCGTCTCGTCTAGAAAAATAGCGTTCAAAAAATAAATACCACCCAAATGAACGCCAGATTTAGTAACAATGTATATGATAAGATACAGGGTGATCTCTAAAAGAAAAATAGTAAATTAGCTATTAATTTGTGATAAAGTTGGAGGGTTAGTTTTGTAATAAAGCAAGAAATTTAACCATCAAATCCCATGGGAACAGTTCCCATGAAGGTCCCATGGGAATTCCTGAGGACCAGGGCGCCTTCGACTGGTTGGACATGTTCAAGGCGAAACATCCCAACTACACCGAGCTCTCAGATCGTTCCTTGGGAAGTCTTTTATGGCTTTGTTGGGATGGGAAAACTCTGGTTGGGGCTGGGGAATTATCTAAAAAAATATAGAGATATGATGAGATATGGTAATATATATATATAATATAATATAATATGATATGATATGATATAATATAATATAATATAATATAACATACTATAATATATTGTATATATATAAAATATTTTTTTTCATGGCGAAATAGTACTAGGCAGTAATAGGTGTTTGAGATATGTTTCAAGTACGTAGTGGTCTCATAATATGAAAAATACATACGGCACGTTGTTCGGGAAATCGTGAGGTTTTGAAGGAGGTGCGGTTTCTTTGGGCCTATTTTCAGAGACATCTAACTGGTTCTTCTCAGCCAGGTGAGAAAGTTAATGGTGGTAAGGAACCAGGTGTACAGCGTGTCTGATAAATATTAATTATTCCATTATTTTTTTTTCGAAAGTGCTGTAGGTGGATATCAATATTATTCAACATTTCATATTTTTATAGATATATGAAAAATAAATGTGCATGTAAGATTCATATTTCTTTGAATATGCTACCCTCTGGTTATTTAACATAGCCATGGGAAATGGCCCATTTATAGATGGTTTACCTATTAAAAATGGTGATTCTCCATGGCTATGTTAGTCATAACCAGATGGTAGATATCAAAAGATTCCTTTCATCGCACTACACTGGTCCGAGATCGGGGCAACTGGTCACTGGGCGACAAAAATCACCAGCGGGAGAGAATCCAGGAATTGGGGGTTACCAAAAAGCCAGGAAGGCCAATTTGTTTCTTGTTTTCCCCAAGTTTCCGGATATTTTTTTTTTCATCTACCATTTTCTCCGAAAAAAAGTCATAAGCCATCTCCCAAATCACAATTTTTATAGGTGGTATGTTTACCGTTCCCAAATCGGTGGGTTACTATTCTGGTTGGTGGTTTCAATCATTTTTTATTTTCCATAATATATGGGATAATCCTTCCCATTGACTAATATTTTTCAAGATAGTTAAAACCACCAACCAGTATCTATTTACAATGTTTTACCCACATTAGAGACATAAAGCGTTTTTTTTTTTTACTACCCTCTGGTAATGTCAAAATAGTTATGGAAGATGGTCCATTGAAATAGTTGATTTACCCAGCTATAAAATCGTGATTTTCCATAGCTATGTTAGTTTGCCAGAGGGTAAATCATGGTAAATCACAAAATATCACCATCAAATCCCATTTTTTACCACCATAAATAAGTCCATGATTTACCATTGAAATTCAGATATTTCGTGGCTTTGTTTCCCCAGTTATTGTGACCATCTCAGCCGCAACATGCCTTTTCACACAGGTTGATGTTCCGAACGGGGGGCACCTTCACATTTTGAAAAAAAACACATTGGTTAAAATGGTATATAATGCTAATCGTATAATTTGGTTTATATGTTATAACTATAATTAATGGTTTAACAAACCCATCAGAAATCTCAACTCTGAAACATGGCTTTGTCTGCAACGGGCTACCATGGGGTGCCCTTAAATCTGCTCGTTCATCATCATCTGTCCAATTAGAACAACCATTTTGGTGCTCGTTCCTCATTTTCAATCAACAAAATCCAGTCTCAGTTTGTGAAATCACCATGTTTGGCTGGTCAAAAATCTCAGTTTCTTGGCGGGTGAAATCCCATTGACATCGGATAAATCACAACGACGTTTTCCGTCGTTTTCCGTCACTGGAATGGTCATTAATGGTCCGCGAAGAGCGGGTAACTGGGTAACGTTTTCCAATCGCCGAAGATGTTTGGGTCCGTGAATACTAACGTATAGTTACGGGGATAATAGTAGTGATACTAACATATAGACATATAGTTACGGTTACTAATTCTACCCGATGATAATCTTTTCGATCCAGAGATACTAACGACATGTAGTGGTCAGGGGATGACAAATTATATTGACATATATATATATGGGTAGTTTTTTCATCACGACCGAAGCCTGTTCTCCTGAAGCCTATCCAATCCTTAGCCTGAAATACTTAGCCATATGGAAAGCCACATGTCTTTTGGAAAGCCACGTGTCTTGGATATCCCATTAGGATATCCCAATCCTGAAAGACTCATGATACATGATACATCATATAAATCCCCATTCAATCCTTACTGAAGTATCTGAAGTATACCCTCTGGTAAACGTTTACATAACGAAATGGAAAATCAACACCATTTTCAGTGGGTAAATCCACTATTTCAATGACCATGGCTTCAATAGCTATTTTGACATAACCAGAGGGTATTCCATCATTTATAGATGATTTTCCACTATATTCCTCCCATTTTCCCTATATTCACTATATTTTTTGACATAACCAGAGGGTATATCGGTATATCCCATTCATAATCCATTAAATCACTATAAAGTCCCATTAAATCACTATAAATCACCAGTTATCATGCAGCTATCATGTCTTTATCCTGAGCATCTCATTGAAACTACGCAGGGATGATCTTGGATTGGGCCGAGAAGAGTGGCATCACAGCACCCAAGGTCCAGACCAATAACGCCACTGGGCCACTGAGAAAAACCACCGTGGATTTTATGGTGTTTTTGCCGCCTATTTTCGGAGAGATGTTTTGTTTTTTTTTTAAAGAAAACACCACATATGTACCAGGTACCTTCAACACACTACAGGTAGTACCACCCATTCTGCGTGGCGCAGATGATAAAATTGCCAACCGGTGCCCAGTGTCATATTCAGGAAGTCCATCCCAAAATTTTAAATTGAACACGAATCTGGAAATCTAATCCGGAAAAGGGGAAAACAAAAAGAAGGTTTCAACATGTAAATCCTTGGAAGATTTACCCATTGAAAATTGAACCCTTGAGGTTTCCATCTGGAGTTGTATCACAGGTTTCCCCAAATGTTGATGCCTTTGTCATCATGTCCGACATCAGAATTCTTGGGGGATTCGCTCCCTATAAAAGACATCTCCAAGTTCCATTCTCAATCGATGAACTCACTAAAAAATCACATTTATATCACCATGTTTGATGGTAATATATGGTAATATCATGTCATATCCTCCATTTTGGCTGCTTAAATCATCTTTTTTCTCCCCTGAACGTGGCATTTTCAGCCAAGGATAAGCCAGAGTTCCGCTTTGGCATCTCTGACATGGACGATCTCAGTATCCGAAGGACACGTGATGATTTGGGCATGTTTCGCTTTCGGTGCTGTTTTAAACGGGGATTTCAACCATGGATTTTCCAGGATTCTATTGTTTTTTTTTCACCATTTTTTTATTTCTTTTTGGAGATTTAAATCATTTAAAGACCAGTTTTTAGCATCAATATCTGGGAAAAAACCACTTAAGATACATGCCGGCTGGTTTTCAATCTGGATGAATTATATGACCCCAGTGATTCTGGAATTGGATCATCCCTACTATGCGGGGCCGCAAGTTTCAGCTATGTTCGCATTGGTAGAATTAGATTCAGCCAGAATCTATGTCAATAATTCATGTTAATTCACTGGAGGGTACTACCAATTCTAAAAGCCGTTGGCACGTTCAATGGCTATAATCATCTCATGATTGGAAGCGTTCCATCATCCCATTCGACCAAAGTGGCTGCTTAAATGTGATTTTACGTTTTACCAGTCACATTTTTTCCCCATTTCAATGTGAATTTTAGAAGAGCATCGTTCCTTTTAGGACATGCACAGATGTGGTATATCCGAAATTGGCAGTGTTTAAGAAGGAACACAGATGAAACAACCATTGGATCATCGAAAACGATGGAGATGTTGGACGTCCTGTTCAGCAAGTTTTACATCAGCTCAACGGCTCAGCCTCTGGATCTGTTGAGTACTTTATTATTGACATGTTTGTTGGCCATATTTCTGGGAAATTTGTCAATTTCGAACGATTTTTTCACCAGATGTATGTTTGTTACACCATTTTTGAGTTGGTTTGTGGATGTTTTCGGCCATTTCTAGGGATGTCTTTGGGGGAAGATTTCGCGCGCGCACGTGACGTAGACGTGACAGGATGATTCAGTGCATGGCGGCTCTCCAGAAGAGGCGCCGAGGGTGGGTGAATTTTCCATGGGACATTGGATTAACCCCAAACGGCTGGGCTGAATTGGGAGGGTACCATTTTTGAGTATCAAATCATGACTGGTAACGGTGGTGACTGGAACCATGGAATTTTATGATTTTCCATTCAGTTGGGAACGTCATCATCCCAACTGACTTTAACTCCATGATTTTTCAGAGGGGTAGGTGGCTCAACCACCAACCAGCTAAGTAGCTAAGTATGATCATCAATGGGATTTTGCACCATATTAAACCATGCAATCACCACATATAGGGTAGGTGGCTCAACCACCAACCATCATCATTAACCATATATAGTAACCATCATTAACCATCATTAACCATCATTAGCCATGACTATTGGGTGAATACACCCCAAAAAAAACATGGCCAATGGTCTATCAATCCGGGAGTTGACGTGAGATTTTCACCTCGAAAGTCACTGGAGGTTTTATCGACTGGACCATGTGGTATTACCCTGAAAAAAACCTATAGAAATGTACCCTAAAATATCTGAATTTCAATGGTAAAAAAAACGGACTTATTTATGGTAAAAAATGGAATTTCATGTTGATACTTGGTGATTTACCATGATTTACCCTCTGGTAAACTAACATAGCTATTGAAAATCACCATTGAAATAATAGGATATGGGTAAATTATTTATAAATGGCAATTTAGATTATAGCTATGTCAGATTTTTTAGAGGATAATCACCTAAAAATAGAGGCTTTTAATACTGAGGTTAATCATGGTTAATGATGGTTAAACTATAGTTAATATCTCCTAAACTTAAATGGGAAAATCCACGAAATATGGAGGTTTTGCAATGGAAACGAATCATCAGTGGTGGCATTCCATTGCTAAATCTTTGATTACCAGAGGCCGACGAATTCTGGGACGAAACTAGGTATTCAATGGTATTCATAGGGTCGAAAGCACCGGTGACGACTTGAGGTGTGTAATTTACCATGGCATTTTTCAGTCGTAAGGGCTCATTATTTCGGTGTGTGGGTCGCCATTCCGAAGGTCGAACACTTTGAAAAGCAACTTAAGGTACTGCAGCTGTAGAATCCCATCATCAATAAAACTTTCCAAAAAAATAACCTCCCAGACATCAAAGTCCCCTGAAAAAATCCCACCAATTCCCATGACTTCTTAAAATGGGATTTCCGGGAATATTTTCACCCGGGCCTTGTCGCTGGCTTTCTTTGAGCCTTGTCCCAAAATCATCAAAATCCCACTTGATCCAAACACCGTTGGAATGGTTTGGATGTTCGCATCCCACCTCCCCATGATCCAGTTCGGGTCTGGATGTATTTCACCATAGGAACCATAGGGGAAACCGCCATTTTGATACAACTCATGGGGCGTCACAAAGACGCGATTTTCCGAATCCCATCATTTTTGACCCAGAAAGTGGTAACCTCAACGGCCGAAATCTCATCCCACGGATTGTAGTTGCTTAGTAACCATGGTCAGAAACAATAGTTAGTTCAGCCATTTAATATATTTAATAATGGAAATGCTAAACATTTATCCATGGAATAGGCCCATATAGGGACTTCTTCGAGCGATTCATAACATCATCGGAGGATTCCGATTCCGGCCTGTAGGCATTACATCATTATGGAGCTCAGGGGCAACCTGAGCAAAGAGACGCGTGTGGCCTCTTTGGGCCAGTTCTTCGATGCCTCTTTCAAGCGCCTCAGTAAAAAAAGGTCGGATGAGGGTCGAAGGTCGAGCCGATCTCCCGAAGTATGTGGTAATGTAATCTACAGTAGATCAATATGTATCAATCGTATTCAATCGTGGTAAATGACAAAATATAACCCGATTCAGCCCGATTCTAATTTTTTTGATGGGATTAATGTGGATCTAGTGTTGAATGAGGATAGAACGGGGATGTAATGAGGATGGAATTTCTTTGCTACACATTGGCATGATGCAACCAGCAACCTTTTCTCAAAAAAATCGCTTCGGGGGTGGAACTGCCCAGGAAAATTGGGATTTTTGATGACAATGGGAGATAGAATGAGATGCCCTCTGGTAAACTAACATAGCTATTGAAAATGACCATTAATAATGGATTTTCCCATTAAACATGGTGATTTTCAATAGCTATGTTAAACTACCAGAGGGTAGAGATTATTTGGGGGGTCTTTGAATTCTTGTTTGGATGACTCTCTGATCCGAGTATACCGGAGTTGTTTCATGGAGACGAGAATGGATGTCTTGGGGATATTTTTGCAGGATTTTTTAGGGAAAAATCGGGCGGCTTGATTGGGGATAGTCCAAATTTGCTGAAGTTGATTCAAGAAGCAATCACTCGCTCTTGGTTTCTATCAATCTATGTATATATATATATATGTATATATATTATATATATATATATTATATATATATATTATATATGTATATATATATTATACACTATATACTATCCTAAATTTGATGTTTTCTTTGTCATTCTTGCATGTAAGACGTTCATTGACACTGTAATCAGCTTCTCTGCTTCATTCTTGCGCCGCAAGCATAGCCAGATATAGCCACCAGGAAAAAAGCCTACGTGGTCATGGGAACTCCAGATGCAGACTTCAAGAAGAAGAACTTGGAGACGCTGCTGATGGGTTCTTGAGATTTGTCATGGGAAAATAATGGGAAGATGATGGGAAAATGACTGATTGGTGGTTTGGAACATGTTTTATTTTCCATTTCATATATGGGATGTCATCCTTCCCATTGACTTTCATATTTTTCAAGATGGTTATTGCACCACCAACCAGATGGATTTGGGGTGATGGATAGCCAGCAAATTCCCAGCGCTGAAGATGAAGGAGGGGCATCTGGGTAACCATTTTGGCGATTTTCAAGAACACGGCTCGGAATTTACCCTCTGGTAAACGTTTACAGTTCGCGAACTGGAACATCACCGTTTTGAAATGTTTTGAATAGACAAATCATCCATTTTATGGGGGGTTTCAATAGCTACTGTATTATATGTGGGGTTTCAAACCACCAACCAGTATTATATATATATGGGTAAATCAACGATTTCGACTGGGCCATGGCTTCAAGAGCTATGTAAGCAATTCCAAGAGGGTTTTTGCAGCAGTGGCAGTCTGACGTCACCCTTGGGCCCCACAGAGAGGTGATGGACGTCCTCCTCGTTGATTCATAGGCTATTGAAAATACCTCATTTATAGTTGATTTGTTCATATTTACCCATTAAAAATGGTGATTTTCCATAGTTTTTTGTATGTTAACGATGGTTAAGCCATCTATTGCCACCCCAGGTGTTTCTGTGTCGATATCCTCCAAGTGGATCATCACCCCTTTGCCGATGGCAGGAGTTGATGCTGAAGGAGAAGCAGGAGCAGTCGGATGCCCAGTTCAAGAAGGAGAAGGAAGAGGTGCGAAGTTGGCCAATTTTTGGCGTTCGAAGTTGAAGGACGTACAGATGGGACTTTTTTGAATTCCCATGGAGAACATATCGAAGCAAGGAGAACATGATTTTTCTGAACCACATGTTCCTATTCACTTTGTTGGGGCCGATTTCTGGCAAGTATCATGATTACTATGATTACGATGGGAAGGCCATTTTCAATTTTCGAAAAAACCGTGAGAATTTTAGGTGTTCTCTTTTTGTTCGGACACGCCTATATGAGGTGATCACTTAGTTAGTAACCATGCAGCTGGAGGCTGGTGATTGTTTGTGGATTACAGTTATATAATAGTATATTAGAGCACTAATACCCAGCAGTAGTAACAAGTCCATAATAACTAGCTATACTAGTATCACAATGTATCACAGAACATGTGATCATAGAAAGCTAGATCAAAATACCTGTATGTCTACTTCTGAACATATCTTAGAGACCACGAGACCGGTTCCAGCCCTCTGAGTCGTCGTTCTCGTCGCGCCACAGGCCGCCCGCAAAAAGGCTCTGGAGAAGAAACAGAAGGAGGCGGAGAAGGCCAAAAAGAAGGCGGAGAAGGAGAGCGCGCCAAAGCGAGCGGTATGACCTGACGGTAACAAAAACCTACCTGGGGCCTGAAAAGGACTTTGAAAAGATGGCATAGGCATATCATGGTAAACTAACATATAACATAGCTATGAAAAATAGTTATAGTTGATATACCCATTAAAAATGGTAATTTTCCATAGTTATGTTAGTTTACCAGAGCGTATATGATGGTGTATGTAACTGTAGCCTATTCATGCCTATTCTTTGGTGGCCATAAATGGGTACACGACAGGAGTGTTCCTGGCAACTTGGTGATTGCACGACCACTACCGGAAGAGCTGAGACAAGATTTGAACCATCTAATGTGGTTAAAACAATCCTAGAATAATCCAATATAATCCAATCATATGTTTATGGTTTATAGTTTTATAATCCAGCAATATCTAGTGGATTATGATAATATCTAGTGACTAATGTGGGTAAAACAGTGCCATAAACCATACCCCAGTCATCTCCATTTTTATAGGTGGGATAATGTAAACCATTCCCAGTCATGGGTGGTCTATTGTTTTACCCACATCTATTCCAACATGCTACAAAATCAGACATCAACTGGTTGGTGGTTTTGAACATTTGTTATTTTCCATAATATATGGGATAATCCTTGCCATTGACTTTCATATTTTTCAAGATGGTTAAAACCACCAACCAGGGATGTTATAGCTATATATAATCCCATCATATAACCATATATAACCACTATTCTTGGCATAAAAAAACTATTCTTTGGTGATTTTGCACATGATCACTTGGCACCAACAGATGATATTTTTACGACGGAACCATTCAATTCAACTGCCATAAGATGATGAAATTTTTCCCATTTTTTATGCGATGGCATCTCCATGTTTTGTTGGTTAAAACAATGCCAGACACCACCCAAAATGTTTGAGGGTCTATACAAACACCATATATAGACCAGCCATAAAAATGGTGGAAATTTCTGGGGGATGGTTTATTTATGATATTGTTTTGACCACAGTCCAATCCCCATTTCAGGAGTTACATATGGTAAACATGACATTGTTTTGACATGTTTTGACAGTCCAATCCCCATTTGGAATGGTTACTGTACATGAATCGTGGGTGATCGCACTTGAAATCACTTCCTCTCGGTCATGACATGGGGCTCCCAAACTATCGATATCCTGTCGGGAACCTCGACAGCCGCTTGTTGGTTTAGACAAAGCCATTCCTACAAAAATATCAGCGACAGAGTATTTCTCTTGGTCAAACATCCACTAATGTTGGTTGCTTAAATTTCCTCATTTTTCCCAGATCAATATGATACATCGCCATATTTTCCCGGTTTTTTCCATGTGTTTTCAACATTTTTTCTGGGTCAATCGTCATTTTTCGTCATTTTTCCCCAGGTCAACTCCCCAAATTCTGGTGAGCTCCGCGAGCTCCGCCAGGAGCGCCAGAAGAAGTTGGAAGAGATGAAGAAGGCGGCCGAGAAGGCCCAGATGATCCAGGGATTTTGCCACAAAAAGCTGGTCATGCTGTTGGATTCGTTGGATATGGAGAAAATCATGGGAAAATATGGGAAAATCTGGAGAAAATCATGGAGATGTCTGGGTAAATTTCATCACGACCGAACCCTGTTCTCCCGAAGCCTATAATCATAGTTAGTAAGGGAAATCATCCCCAAATGGCCGCAAGATTCAGGTTAGTGAAATATTATAATTTACCCAGAATATACGTATATATATATGAATGTATTTTAATATAGAGTATATAACCAACTCAATTAGATCTATAAGTTTTTTTAATCAAGAAATTTATGGAATCTTTGATGATATGAAGCAACTCGTGGGAGGGATTTATGAATATTTAAGCACAGATGTTTTTTTCGTGCCATAGCCATGGTCAAGTTGCATTTCATGAAGCCATTCCTTGGGGATGGTTTGGAAATCAATCCATTTCTGGCATGGAATGGAAAAAACGATGTTTGACCATGGCACTAAGAATGGGCCAAAAATATCGCGGGCTATGTTTGCACCAAGTCAGGGGATTTTTTACACGTTTGAAAAATTGCTGAGGGCGCTGATACAGAAGTGGGGCACAGAATGGGGTTTTAAAAACAAGCCGCTTCACCTTGATGGGGATTTAACCACTAAATCAACCTTTATTTAACCAGTTTTTAACCATTATTTAACAACTAAATCAATGGCCATTCATTGAATATCAACTGGCCATTCGGTCCGCTGCTTTGATTGTACAACGAACCTTTTTTTGGATTCCAAATGGATGGAAAAATGTGTTTCCCAAGATCTTTGGGAATACGAGACTGAAAGATAAACAAATCCTACAAACCTAGTGATCCGAACCAATTTTACCTTGTTTTGTAGTTTCAATTGAGCCACGTCCAAACCCTTCTGATTCATTTTTAGTAAGGGGGTGGCATCTTTAGGACCTCGCGGAAGCAAAACCCTGGTGTGCGTAAGCCCGCGTAAGCATCAGCGTAAGCTTTTCCCGCGCGTAAGCTAAAACTGCGGGCGCTTAAGCAGCGCGTAAGCTGCCGCGTAAGAGTTCCCTTAGCGCCTTCAGAAGAACAAGACCTTTTAAACACAGCTCAATTTGCGTCTCTGGTCACTTCACTCAAATGGTTTCTCCATGTTCCTCCCCTTGGTGTCTGGCAAGTTCCTTTTCAAACCAATTTTTCACCAATTCGCCCCCCAAAAAAAGATCTTGTGTCCCCCGAAAATTCCCCCATCGGCCAAAGATCAGCCACTTCCCACCTTTCACCTGCTGGGTCAGGCCAAAAAGGAAGCCGAACGCAAGAAGGCTGAAGCCGAAGGCCGGCAGATTGAGGAAGAGGAGGAGGAAACCAAGGAGCGTCACGTTGAAGCCGAGCTGATGGATGTCTTCTGGAGTAGTGGGGAACCAATGGATGGACTGAACTCTGGGTTAATCATCTTTGAGCAGAAGCCAGATGGCAACGTGTGACTTCCCACACTCTTTTTTCTCGGTCTACCAGTTGGGAGCTATGGGCTGGTTATTCCCACACCTGGTACAGTAATAGGTGTTGTACATGCTGTTGCCATGTTTTTTTGTCATGTTTCTGGTGAATATCACCAAGACCATTCTTGTTATAACTGGCTACATTTGATGGCAAAACCACTTACCATCTGGTTGTCTGGTTATGACTAACATAGCCATGGAAAATCCCTACCATAAATGGAGGTTTCTGGCTGGGAAAATCATCTATTTCGATTAGGGCCATCGAAAAACCATGGCAAACTGTTATATAGTCATAACCAGAGGGTAAATCATCCAATTTTTGCAGTCAGAGTTTATAAACCTTCAAAGTCCCTGGGAACATCAAACCAACTGGGGCAGCTCCGCTGCCACGGAGCTGCCCGCAGGATGTTGAAATGGAAGAAGATGAGGCGTGCGTGCATTCTCGTCGCACATGTGACACGTAGTGAGGTGAGTCAACCATAGTGACTTCCGTGATTTTGATCGATTTTTTGGGGTTTCCTGAAATGGGGGTAGTACCTCCATCCATTTTCTGAAATGGGATTGTCCATTCGAAACGATCTATTTTGGCCGTAAGTTACCCCACGATGGATAGCCCACCAGAATGGGCTCGTTGAAGGCCGGAATTGTGAACAACATTTCTGCATCAACTCTAGCGACCTACTGGATGGTGATAGAAATAGTGAGTTTTCCCATGAAAAATGGTGGATCTTTCCATAGCTTTTTGTAAACGTCTACCAGAGGGTATTGATGGGGTAACTATCCCAAAATGACCTTATTTCTACGTGAATTCGTGTATTTGATCCAGATATGTGGGGGATGCTCATCCACCATCAGCATCGATGGCCAATGATGGCCTTTTTGTTTCCTGTTCCCGTTTACCGGAAGCAACGGAGAGAACATCCGTTCAGAATTGGGGAACCGGGAACATGTTAATTTAAAAGATGATGGTTCCCCCATTCTTATGAAAACACATATCTATCATATCGTGGTGATATATGTTGATATTTGTTGGTGATACCCAAAAAAGTATCCAATGATATCCCATGATGTTTGGTTTGAAACCACCGTTTTTGTTGGTTCCAGCTGTTCCCAACCTCCCAACCTCCCGCGGCCATAGGTGGAAGAGGAGGAGGTCGATGAAGTGGAAGTCGATGAGGAAGCTCCTAAGGTTACATTGACAGCTGAGGAGCAGCACACTTTGGGGGGATTGATGTTGGTTTTACCCTCTGGTAAACCAACAAAAAACTATGGAAACTCATAATTTTAATGGGTAAATCAACTATAACTTGCCATTTTCAATAGCTACTATGTAGTTTACCAGAGGGTATGTGGTTTTACATAGCTATTACATAACAGGTGAAATAGGTGAACCATATTTTCTATGACGATGCAGGTGTCATATATACTGTATATATATATAGGATTATTGGCATGTTTTAGTCTTGGGTTGAAACATAGTCTGTGGTGTGATCGTCAATATCTGTTCAATGATAGCCTCCAAAAAAATTGAAACATGGAGGGTTTCATGGGGTTTCAGAAAAACTATTTTTATACTATTGCCATGGTGGATTTTTACCATGGTTGATCATCCCGAAGGCTATATTATATATATATTATATACCCTCTGGTTATGACATTCACAGTTCGCCATGGTTTTTCGATGGCCCTAATCGAAATAGATGGTTTACCTGGGTTTACCGAACTTAATAGCATGATGGATCTTTCCATGGCAAATGTTAAATAACCAGTTGCTACATATGGTCACCCAGAAAAACCCCTGCAGATCCAAGTCACCAATGACTCTGCGTTTTTTTCAGACGCGTCAAGTATGGACAAACTGCTGGGAGATAGCCAAGATAGCCCCAGATATAAAAACGTGCAATAAACTGTGGTTTGTTCTTGGATCGTTCTTAATATCCACTACAAAAAAAACCGAGTACCCAGAAGGGGGGCATTTGATATGATTGAAAGTCATTCCCCCGAACCCCTCGACATATGTTACAGTCAAACTTGGTTTATCTACCCATCTTGCAAATGGTCATCAGTCCATGGTATCCATAGGTATTTACCCTGGAGTAACCGTTTACGATATGGAAAAACATAGATATTCGATCTACAACTGGTGGCTTTTCTACATCTTTTTCTATAGGTTTCCAGGAAACTATCCCAGGGTCCCAGGGTTGTGGGATTCCATGGGAACATCCCTTACCACTCGGGTCATCCAAGCTGGCCGGACGATGCCCCAGGAGAAGAAGGTGACCTTCCGCAAGCTGCCCCTGCCGGATATTCCGGAGCAACTTCTCAACACCAGTTGCTTTGGCCAAGTCGAAAGTCGCCATCGCTGGATGGTTTTTTGGGGGTTTTGAATCCTCCAAACTCGGCCATGGTAGGATAAGAATCCGTTTTTTCGAACATGAAATAGACATGATCCAATGATAACTGGTTGGTGGTTTCAAACATTTTTTTATTTTCCATAATGTATGGGATAGTCCTTCCCATCGACTTTCATATTTTTCAAGATGGTTATTGCACCACCAACCAGATAAGGTCGAAAATTCTTAGTGGAGAAATGGTCATTTTTTGAGCTAACGCCTGTGTGTTGGAACCAGGAAGAATATGGGAGTAAAAAGGAGTAAATCTGATTCGAATATGTGAAAAAATAAACCCCAAGAGCATCAACAGTCCATTAACAATCTCCACTTTTACACCGTTGTACACAATTCTACTGGACATGTCTGGTACGGTCTTGTTTCCTGAAACATGTGGTTCTGAGACGCTTTTTGGATGTTTCTCTGAAATTTTGATTACTTATATACTGGAAACAGTGGAAGATCTCCCACGATGTCAATGGGCGATTTTCCCTCAAGATGGCGATTTTCCATGTTTGGGGGGGGGAACATCACCGCTTGTTTTGGTTCATATCCCGATTTTTGCAGCTTTCTGCGAACTAATCTCTGGTTGCCGGTCAAAAAACATAAGTTATATACATATATAATATATAATTATATATATCGCTATATATATATTAGAGTCTATGATAGTCTATAGTTATTTTCTATCACAATCTTGAAAAAAAGATGACCAGCGATAGTCAATGTCCGAGGTTTCACGAAGTTCTCTTTGCCTGAGCTCGACGAAGGTGTCATGGGCCGGTGTCATGGGGGGGATCCGTGGGAAAACCATGGGTTTTTAACAAAAAAATATGAGGGACACCCATGGCTTATGGCTTTCCCCCACTACTTGGTATATCAGGTTTTCCTATAATGTCAACCCTGGATGAATAAACCCCAAACGGTTGTTTAATTGGAAAGATACCATTTAAGTATCAGATTATGAAAATCATATGGGTTTTTGATACTAAGTTTCAATCTGCTTCAAAACTCATGATCATCGACGAGGAAAATGGGGTCAGATGACTGAAAATGGAGTCAAAGATAGAACAAAGGGGCACAAGAAATGCCTGAACATGTCTTCAAATCCTTGCACATTCGGTAGAAAATGGTTATATGAAAAACTACTATATCCCTGGGATCAAACATGTTGAGGATGATGGGACAAATTTGAAAACATTGGCTTTTCCACCAGTTGTATTCCATGAGAATCATCTTCAATGACCACATTTTTTGCGTTTTCGCGGAGTGAACCAAAAAGATAAGCACCGTTTTAAACAGCAATCATGCTGAAATAAGAAGTTGTAGCGAATTCCATCACCCAAAAACATCTATCTCTGGTTGGGTGCTTGACTTTTTCCTATCTTTTCTATGACCTACGGCGAAAAAAAATTGGGGGTTTCCCCCAAGTTGGCAACGGTGGCAGGTTTTGACGACCTGCACTACGAGTGGAGTGCCAAGGGGCCCGCAGCTGCTCAGGCGACGATGGACCTTGAGGGGGTGATTTCTATGGTGATTTCTATGGTGACTTGCTGGGGATATTTGATGGTTAACCCTCTGGTTTATTGAAATCAGCATGGAAAAACACAGTTTTTTTTTTTTTTTAAATAGGAACACATCAGTGTAAATCATCATAAATAAATCATCTATAGATTATAGATGGGCAATTTTCCATATGTTAAATAACCAGAGGGTCATTTTTATGGGATTGAATGGATTGACAAAGTAAACATGGTGATTTTACGTGTGAGATGAGTGTTTCTGACATAGTGGAGGTAGCCCCAAACCATCATGAAATTTACTATTATGATCCCGTGTAGAACAGAGAACGTTGATTTTAGCGGGAAAAAACACAAAAACAGAATCACCCAAGATTTTTCTATGAAACCCTATATTCTTTGTGCTGCTGGACTCAGAATACTATTATATATAAACCATCTTCAAACATAGCAGATGGTTGCGAAATCCTGCGCCAGTTGGTAACTATTGGTAGGTCTGAAACACTGGAACCAGGGATGTCCTTATCATGGGATGTTTAAAAAATCTACCAACTGGTATCTTTCCTGTGTTTAGGGTTCGGCAAAACCATCCACAGTAATTTAATGATTACCATATTTAGAACATCCACATTTCTTACCCTCTGGTAAACTAACATAACTATGGAAAGATCCACCATTTTTAATGGGTAATTCCACTATAAATGGCCATTTTCAATAGCTATGTTAAATTACCAGAGGGTAACCATCCACATTTTTTAACGCCTTTAATTTAGCACGAATCTAACTTAACCTACGCCATGCAATCATGGGAACTAGCTAGCAGACACCGGCAAGTTGACTGACCAAAGATATGGGCCAAAAGCACCGAAGTAAGATGCCATCAAGATGGTTCATAATTTCTATGGTTACAATATGTTACCATAAAATATGATTATCACCATGTGTTTTTTGGCCGGATCTTTATAAAACAACCCGTGTTTTCCAACGACGGCTTAAAAACCATGTTTTCCTGCGAAGCGGCGCAGACCCTGCAGAAGTGGGTCCTGGAACGAAAGCTCACCAGTCGGGTGGAAGACTTGGCTCCTTCCATGTCCCTTGGACGCCTAGGAACTGTAGACCTTGGATCGCTGCAGAAATGGGGGCCGAATGAGCTTGGGGAAACCGATGTAAAACGATTGGAGAAATTGGACATGGCATGAAGATTGGAACATATGAGCTGTTGAAATCTGGTGGTTTGGAACATGTTTTTCTTCCATATATTGGGAATAATCAATAATCATCCCAAGTCCCAAGTGACTAATATTTTTTAGAGGGATTGAAACCACCAACCAGTGAGGTGTTGAAATGTGTTGAAGCATTTGCTGGTGTTTTTCAAAGGAATTTGGATACTTGAGGAATGACCAAAGCAGAAGTGAGTGTTGCATTTGTTTGGAGATGGAGATTGGATAATGTGGTTAAAACAATGCCATTTTTACCAGCCATGAATGGGAATGGTAAACATAACACCTATATATTCATGGTGATGACTGGGGGATGGTTTATTGTTTTAACCACATTATTGTGGATTTCTCACATGTGGGGTTTTCCCAGAAAATGCTTTTTTGATCAATTTCTAGCAGGGACGTGCGTCCCCTAAAGATGGAATCCCGCGATTGTAAGTGGTCAATAAGCCTGGTGGTTTTACCCTCTGGTTTCTACGTTTACATATAAAACGAACTGGAAAGATCCACCATGTTCTGTTCCAGCTGGGTAAATCCACTAATTATTTCTATGGGCCATGGCTGAAAAATAGCTATTTTGTTAGTCATAACCAGAGGATAAGTCCCCGGTGGCTCCCATTTCTATGGCTGAGATCGTTCACCTACGATCCAACAGTCCTCCATGGCTGGGACGTCCCAGGGCATTTGGTGGTTGTGCTCCAGCACGCCACATTTCATTAGCAGGGACACCATGAAAATCACCATTGAATCCATTGATCATCAGTTTGAAAAACCATGATTTAGCATCTTCAAGCATTCTTTCAACCATGATTTAGCATATCTTCAACCATTTTTTTAACGCTTTTTTAACGTGACCATCGTAGGTGACCTTTTTTTTCAAAGCTCAGGTGGTTCAAGACCAAGTGGGCGGCATGGCAGAAGCTCTTCCATCAGTGGCAGAGCAAGCAGATGGAGTACCGCACCAAGGTCCAAAAGAAGGCCACCGAGAAAGCGCAGCTGTGGCCGCAGCAACGTTTTTGGGTGGTGGATGGTGGATGGTGATGGTGAACTCAGGTGAATAGATGGGAGTTTTTGGGGATCTCAAGAACCCAAACTTGGGGAATAAAAAACCATGAAACATGGGGAAGTGGTGTCTAGATCGTTATCTACCCAGTTTCACCCAGTTCCATATCTATCTGAGGTCCGCCAGATAAAACCCGTCCTGTTTAAGCCGAAACAGCTCCCTGTTTGCCTAAACCGCGTCTCCAAGGCAGAAGGAGGCCAAGAAGCAGCAGGCACTGAAGCTCGCCGAGGCCAAAGCAGCTGCCGAAAAGGCCAAAAAGGAACAAGAGAAGGCCCCTTTGGGACGTTGGTGGCGAGTTTCATGCAAAGTGGCACAAATGGAGCCAAGACTGGGGGGGTTGAAGCAATGAATTCAGATGGTTTTTTAGAATAGTGATATAGGATGTATATGTTTTTTTTTAAGCCCATAAGAATGATAATAATATTAGCAATAATAGAATAATTGTAATAACAGATAATAATACTAGCAATAATAGCAATAGCAACAAATAATAATAGTAATAATATAAGAATGATAATGATATTAATGGATGCAATGGGATCCTTAAGGCTCATCTGGATTGAATGTTTGTTTTTCATGTTTTGGGGGTTTGAGCAGAATTGGGACTTCTTAAGCAATGAAGAAGAGGGCTTTATGATGTTGCGAATTGATCTGATGGACATATATGGAAGTATGTGTCGAATCCGGTTGGGGGGTTAATTAACCGGGTGAAAACTTTTTGTTTAAGCAATGAAGAATGGCCTAAAATGGAGGGATAGCATGGGGAACTTGGCCTAAACGTTGCCAGAATTGTCCCTTGAGTTTGCCCTAGGCTGAGGCAAAAGACGACGAGACGAAGGAGGAAGAGGAAGTGAAGGCGAAAATTGCTGGAGCTTCGCCACGGTGGAACTTTTAATGGGAAAATCCATGAGAATGGGGGGATTTGCCACCAAGCCATGTTTCACGATGCCAAGCCATGTTTTGTTCGCCTCGTCTAATTAAGAATTTGCCATGAAACATGGGATTTTCACGATTTTCAATGACGCCGATCATTTTCTATGGCCATGTCGAATTTCCAGAGGGTACAGTATTTTGGTTGAGAAAACATACAAATGAGTGGGAGCCAGTAATTACTTGAACTGTTGTTTGAAACCAGCAATGTTGCAATATATTACAATCAATTCTGAATCCAAAGATTCATTTTTTCTGACTTAAGAAAACATCAAAAAACATATACATACATACATTACATTACATTTACATTTACATTTACATTACATTACATTACATTGCATTGCATTACATTATATTACATTACATACATACATACATAATATATAATATATAGTTACGGGGGTTGATTTTCCTTTTCACCTTTTGCGTTGCCATTCTTTGTGCTCAGTGCACGTGTGGCCTTTTTCGAGCTTCCTAGTGTAGTTGCTGGTCCACAGGTTCTTTTCCGAGCTTGGCCCCTGACTTTTGGCACAGTGCCGTCATTTGTCGCCTTGCCTCCTGCTGGACGCTCTGTGCCTACACTCTTTTTTGTTTTGCTTCCTTGGCATATTGCTCCTTTTCTTTCCTCCCCCAAGGGGTCAGGAATCTAAGCAGGAATTGCCAAGTGATCTAGCTCTGCGAGTTTACATGTTTTTTCCACGACTGGGGCTTTCATGGGCTTTCCCGTTATATATATAGTTATATATATATAGTTATATATATATAGTTATATATATACATAATAATACATACATAATATATATATAGTTATATATATATATATATATCCACCTACCTGCGTGGGGCTGGCGTCCTCAACCTGAGCCTGAATTTTGCCTTTTTTTTAGGCCGAGGAAGAGGAGAAGGTGGATCCTATGCCGCTCGCCATCTGGGAGAACCCCCCCAAAAAACCGGCCTGGTTATGTCAAAACGTAGCGAAAATGGCCATAGAAATAGTGAGTTTTCCCATGAAAAATGGTGGATCTTTCCGTTATGTAAACGTTTACCAGAGGGTATTTCATCTGATTTGTCCAGTCTAGGAATCGTATTACACAGTTGAAACACATGTAGAATGCTTCTGAACATGGGAATGTCATGAAGATTTTTCCATGAACTCCGTATGATTTCTCCTATCAGTTCATGTTTATTTCCAAACGAACCACTGCACGTCCGAGGCAAGTGGATGAAGAAGAGGAAGAGGAAGAAGAGGCACTACTACCGCGAATCTGGGGAACTGTACTGTATATCATAGTTTTTCTCGTCAGTACTGCACATCATATAATTACAGTATATACTAATTAATCATCATGATCTATATGGAAAATTGTGTTTAGATTTAATGATAGAACTATAGTTATAATGTATATATTTTATATATACATAAAATCTCTATATATACATAACTTTATACCATTTTAAAACTATACCTTACAAAAATCATGGAGCTTTCCAATCCATGCTACGCCCTAGGCCGTGGACTTCGAGGCTTTGGACATCTTCGGTGTGGACGAGGTTTTTTCAGGGGACGGCCGGTGATGGGTTTTTGTTGTTCGATTTGGGGAGATTTTCCATAGGAAAATCCATGATTTTTACGATTTTCCATAGGAAAATCCATGAGTTTTACATGTTTTTACCTGTTTTTTGCTGGGTTTGAAGGGGTTTCACTGAGATTTTTCATGGGATTAAACTCTCAAAAGCGTGGATTTTGCCAACAAACATGGGACCTTTTTTTCCCATGGAAGATGATTTCGCCACGAATTATGGGATTAAACCATCCATGGAAAAAACAATTAGTGCGATGTGAATTATCGGGTGGTTTGCTGCGGCTGGATTTCTGGTTATGACTAACATAGCCATGGGAAATGGCCCATTTGTAGATGGTTTACCTGGGTTTACCTATTAATAGCATGGTGATTTTCCATGGCTATGTTAAATAACCAGAGGGTATATCTTATAGTCTATCAAGGTGTATCTCATTAATTCTGTTTTTGATACAGGTTGTAGTTGGTTTTGTTCCTATTTTATTGGCTCCATCATGCGTATATCATACGGGTGCGTCTGAAAATGATGTAATTAGACCAGCACGCGGTTCTTTTAGCCAAAGCTTATGCCCCCAAGCGGCTTTCATCGCAGCTGTAACGCAAGTTGCTCCGTGGGAAAGCAAATCAAGTACTCCTATTGAAGTTTGAAAACGGCTCTTGCTGAGTCGCTCCCAACCCCATTTTTGCAATACTTCATACAAACGGCTGTTGCGTTCACATGGTTCCGCAGCAGAAAACTGCAAACGTTCAATGTCTGCCACTCTACGACAAGTAGCCACCTCCTTACGAAGTCTCCACAGCTCATGAAAAAGGACTTTGGAATCCAAGGCAAATTCAGGATCAAGTTCCGGAGCCAAAAAAGAGGTCCAAAGCAGATATCTGGATCTTCCAGATTGAGGGTATCCCAACATGGTGGTCTCAATGGCATACCTCCAGTTTTGCAAGGTCTTTTTCGGAATGGTGGTCCAAGCACCCGTATGCGAAAACAAAGAAAGGACAAGCGATCTCACCAAGCGTCGTTTGCACCAATACTTGTGAGTGGCCGTGCGGAGTCGTCTCAGGCGTGCCTGCACTTTCGCAACAACTGTTGGCTCAATTGGTCGTCGGCGTGCTTTCGTCGAGAAATAATGCACCCCCAACAACTTGAACTGAGCAGACATTTTCCACTTCCTGTTGCTTGCGATATTCCAGGATTGGACAGCTTGCAATTGTGCTCCGCGGCATTTGAAGAAAAATTCACATTTGGAAGGATTCAACCGAAGGCCTAACACCTCGTCAACATGTTGCGATGCATCTAAAGCGGTTTGCAGCGGTTGCCGCTCATGGCACCACAGAGTCATGTCATCAATGTACACTGAGAGTTGCACTCTAGGTGATTGCTGTTGCACATACCTGCACCAGACAGCCATAAGGCCTGCGAGTAGGACCAAGTTTGAGCAAGTTTGATAGAGAAAATCATGAGACATAAACCAGTGGATTTAGGGTTTTTCTCATCATGTTCCAGACACACCCAGACTGGGCATTTCTGCAAATTGAGGGTTTCCGATTTCGCCATTGACTTTCCCATCGAACATGAAGCTTGGATGAAGAAACCCAACCAAAAAAAGTCTTTGTTGAACACCATAACTCCCAACAAATTTCTTTGCCATAAATCCCAATGTTTATTGGTTCCCATTCTTGATTCATATTCTTCTTATGGCTTAAGTTTCACCAAAAAACAGCCCAATATTGGATCGCAAAATCCCATAACAACTGCATTGAATCACCATTAAATCCCATTAAATCCCATTAAATCCCATTAAATCACCATTAAATCACCATTAAGTCCAATTAAATTCCATTAAATCATTAGTAAATCCCATTAAATCCCATTAAATCACCATGAAATCCACCTTTCTTCGTTGGAGGTGGATGACATCGGCGGCGGCATGCCGCTCTACAAGGACTTTGGCTCCGAGGATTGGACGCTGATGACCCTGTGCCCGGCGGCTCAAGGGTCCGCGTTTTCTCCCAAGCAATGGGAAATTCGTGGGGAAATTGCAGAACTCAATGGGGATCTAGGGATATAATAAATAAATATATATATATAATAAGATAATATGTATATATATATATATCAACAATATGATATAATATTTGATAGACGGTGATACCTGAGAAGCGACTGTCTTTTAGGGATTTTAGGGTTCAGGTTCATTGTTTTGTAAGTACTTGGGTGAGCCAAGTATCGTTGTGGCTCAGGGAGTGAGACGGGCGTCGTCAGAGAGATAGAGATGAAGATAGAGCTAGAGCCAAAACTCTCCATCTTCATCTATAGATTTATGATAGGACTAGGACATACTAGGACTCCATCTTAGAGTCTTAGAGATGAAAAGATATGGCTATGGATCAATACCTATTAATACCATTTTTAGTGGGATGAACATCCATAAATCCCAGCTATTTTGATGTGAACTACAGGGGTACTATTGGTTTTGACACACATCCCCATATTGCTTATTGGGATTCCCCATGAATCCCAGAAATCCCAACAGTTTTTCTGCCATGAAATCAGGCTTTGAGCTCCACCTCATGTCACATGCCTTCAAGAAGGACTGTGATGACACGGATCGCAAAGGCACCGGCCGGGCGATTGGGTGGAGCTGGATTCCTGGTTTTTCTGCGTGGATCGTGAAAATCAAAACAGGTCGGTTTTTGTTGAACAGATGGGGGGAACATGATATATACGTATAATATATATATATATATATTAATAATTTATTAATGTGTATACATTATATATATATATTTATATATGTATATGATATTATACCTGAAAATGGCCAAGTGCTGGAAGTATATGTTCTTCTCATCCGACTGGCGGAAACGACCCAAATCGGCCCCAGCCACTCACAGCGACCGGTCGCTTCGTGGCAGGCATCATCTTGGACCATTTGGGTTTCTACTACAACCGTTACTACAGCAAGCCGCTCACGGCCAAGAGCTACGGCGTAGAGAACGAGCAGGAGCTCATTGCGCTGGCCAAGGATTGCGTCTTCGTCAACAAGGACAAGGTGCGATGCGGGGGGCTGAACGGCTTATGGACCCTTATGGTGTCATCAAACATCGCTAGATATGGCTGGAAAATCCGCCATGGCTCAGGTTTTTCCCATTAAAACCTCCATGGCTTCACAGATTTCCAGATATTCTCAGTGGGACTCTGGACTTCAGATGTTCCAAACAGAGGCTGGATACTGGGGCCGAAGTGATGCTTGACTTCTGGAGATTTCTGATGATTTCTGGGTGATTCTTCAAGCCATCCACAATTGGAGCTTTCTATTTGGGCCTGGCACGAAAGAATTTATGATACCATAATAATACCGAAACGAGGTTCAGCGACCTTTTGTCACTGTCAACTCTTTTCTGTAGAAATTGAATATAAATTTAATACCCATAGGATCCATGTATGCCATATATGGTAACATTTACCATCAATATACCCCAGTCATGTTAGCATATATACCATACATGGATCCTATGGGATATGATATAGATGTACAATGGTGTATATACCAGAAATGGCTTTAAGAATGACAATTCCCTAGCAATAGTTCCACTGGTAGGTGGTTTCATTTTTTTATTTTCCATTTCATATATGAGATGTCATCCTTCCCATTGACGAACTCCATCATTTTTCAAGATGGTGAAATAGCACCACCAACCAGCTAAGTAGCTAAGTATGATCATCAATGGGATTTTGCACCATATTAAACCATACAATCACCATATCCATATATATATATATAGGGTAGGTGGCTCAACCACCAACCATCATCATTAACCATATATTAACCATATATTAACCATCATTAACCATATACTAACCATATTTTTCGGGTAGGTGAAATAGCACCACCAAGCAGTTCCATGATTTTCCCTTCGAAAGATTTCCGCAGGTGATGGAATCTCTCCTGGATGAGGAGATCGAGTATCCTCAGGCGAGAAGCCGCGAGAAGATCGCCAATCTCTAAAGATGGGATCTTGATAAGTATATAAATAGTATATATACAATTATATAGGTATGTATATATAGTAATGGATATATCTATATGGATATATATATATATATATTATATAATTATATAAATATAATTATATAGGTATGTATATCTAGGTATGTATATCTAGGTATGTATATCTAGGTATGTATATCTAGGTATGTATCTATATATATATACAGTATATATATAGATATGGTCGACTCATTTGAACTTCAATTGGAACTCTAAAGAAACACCTTTGAATCGAAGATCATCGAAGTTCACTTCAATTTGGGACTTTCAAACACAGAATTTTAAGTCAAATCTCACCTCCCTACCAACAATGGAGGTTTCCTAAGTTTGTTGGGGGTACTTACCAACAAATCATATCATTTCATCCAGTTTTAAACTGTGGATTTTCCATGAAAATAAACCGAAGTCACGTACTTACCAACAAACATCATCATTTTTTTGGGAGATGTTCCATGAAAAGAAACATAATGGTATTCATCCATTTTTTGGGAATTTTCCATGAAAGAAACCAACATCAACCGTTACTCAGCTACCCTCTGGTAAACGTTTACATAGCTATGGAAAGATCCACCATTTTTAATGGGAAAATCAACGAACTTTCGATTGGGCCATGGCTTCAATAGCAAGTGTGGATGTTTATCATCCCATTAAATCCCAATCATATCTCATGGAAAGTCCCATGGAAAATCCCCATCGGTCTTTTGGGGATCCCCATCGTCAGGTCTTCGTCAAGATCTGTGAGGAGTCGCGCAGGCATCGGGCGCTGCTGCTGGATATGGGCGACGAGAGCGCCAAGCTGAAGTTCTCGGGCGCCGCCAAGGGCAGCATGACCTCCGCGGGAGGTGCTGGTTTCAACGGATGGATGGGGGAAATGAGGTGGACGATGGATGGGAGAATTATGGGGTTTTGGTGAAATATGGTGAAATGGAAATGGAACATGGTTTTGTCTGTTGATTTTACCATCTGGTTATGACATTCACAGGGCCAGCCAGGGGAAAGATCCACCATGCTATTAAGTTCGGTAAACCATCTATTTAACTATTTCTATGGGCCATGGCTTAACCATGGCGAACTGTTAGTCATAACCAGAGGGTACATTCCTTAAAGGAATAACACCATGAGTTGATCAAACATTTTTTACCAAACATTTTACCAATGATCTATATCTGAAGTGGAAGAACCAGTAGTTGATCACTTCCCATTTCAGAAAACATCTCAAACTATGAATTATCGGGTACCTTATCAACCATTTAAGACACCATCCTCAAACTATGAATTACATCAAAAAAAATACTCTAGGTATCGGATTTCTATCCCATCAAAAATAGGTGCCAATTTTCATTTTTTTTTCGGAATCCGAGATCCCTCCCGTCATCCGGGCGTTGCCGCAGGTGCCAAGGGCGCCGACTCCAAGGGTGCCAAGGGGCAGGCGAAGGGTGGCTTCGGCAAGGGCCCAATGCCTGTGGGACCCATGGGATCCCAGCAGATGAACCCCATGGCAGCCATGGCCAACATGGCCATGAAGGGTGGCAACTCAGAGAAATTCATAGGGAAAAATGGGGGAAAACCTATGGAAAACCTATGGAAAACCTATGGAAACTATATGGAAAACATATGGAAAACCTATGGAAAACTATGGAAAACCTATGGAAACCTATGGAAAACCTATGGAAACCTATGGAAAACATATGGAAAACCTATGGAAAACCTATGGAACACATATGGAAAACTATGGAAAAACATATGGAAAACATATGGAAAACTATGGTAATATGGAAAAATGATGGACAATTGATGGACAAATTGAGATGGAATCAATGAATTGCATGGCAAAATGATCCAACATTGATGAACATTTTTTTTTGGAGAGTTAGTTATGGTTTGATATGTATTTCTTGATTTGTATAAGTTGATGTGAATCGTTTGGGAGTTTGTGGATTTGTGCTGCCCAATGATGACTCGTGTCGATAGTTGATGCTTTTGTTGTAGATGCATCTCCCAGCCCACTTTTGAAGGGGAAGATTTCTCAGGGTGTAAAAGCATGGCTCGAAATGGTGGTTGCATAACATTGGATAGAACATTGGATAGTAGATTTATGTAGATTTATGTAGATTTATGTAGATTTAAGAATTTTGAAGGATTGGACTATTTGACAATATTAGACATCACTTGAAATTTGTTGACCTTGCTTTTCCCCAGCTGGGTCCCACTTGGTCATTTAACATCACCAGCTTGCCTCACCAGCTCGCCGGCTCTGCATCAGATAGAATGCGGGCTCGCTCGAGCGTCAGCTGGAATGCCAGATAAAATGTTAGAATATTTGTATGTATATATATATAATTATATATATACACTGGTTGGTGGCGACTGGAACCATGGAATTTTGAATGATTTTCCATTCAGTTGGGAATGGAATAATCATCCCAACTGACGAACTCCATGATTTTTCAGAGGGGTAGGTATACCACCAAGCAGTATTTGCATTTGTGAGATGAGACCTCAAAACGTATATGTCAGATGTCAGATAGATTAATTATCACTGAAGATGTGTATATATATATTTGTATCAGGCAAAAGATAAACTGCCGGAATATATGCCAGTGGTTGGGCTTCACTGGGAGATTTGTTCGATTTCACTGGCGGAAAACTCACTGCTGAGATTCTGCTGGACTGAGAAAAGCTCATAGCTTCGTGACTCATGTTGTTTCTACATTCAATGGATTGGTTTAAGGGAAAATCTTAACCGGAAACCATGGTTTTTACCATGAAGATCATGGGGGTTTCCTGTAAATTTTCCCAGCAATCCATTGATACATTGGGACTCGGTGAAGTTCAGAGTCTAAAAATTGTTTCGGTTTCAACACTAGCGATGCAGGTATGGTGGAACCCAGCAGCTTGGGATGTTTGAAATGAGCCAAGGTAAAGGTGGCTTCATGCCCTTTGGAAAAGGGAAGACTTGGAAAGGCAAGTGACACTTGGCGCGGCTTAGTGATCCTGTGGGAGAGGTTGACTGTTTGATTGAGTTGCTAAATACTCTGGTGCTAACATATAAACATATACATATACATATACATATACACATACATATACACATACATATACACATACACATATACATATGTACATATACATATACATACATATATGCATACATATACATATAAGTAACCGACAACATACATATATGCATACATATACATATAAGTAACCGACAACATGAGTGGAAGACTAAAGTAGTAGGGAGTGGACTTGGGATGTTTAAGTTTGCGTAAAAGCCTTCACAACCGATAGGGGACCACCCATTTACTGATACCCTATTCTTACACATAGCATGGAAGTACAAACGTTCACAACCGATAGGGGACCACCCACTTTGGCCATATCCATTGTGAGTAGTAAGTACTTTCGTCCGCTACTCATATACATATACATACACATACAGATGCACATATACATATACATAATATATATATATATACATATACATACGCATACGCATACACATATACATATACATATTATACATATAATATATACACATATTATATATATACACATGGAAAATCACCGTGATGTTTAATAGGTAAATGTAGGTAACTCATCTATAAATGGACCATTTCCCCTGTTGACTCTGCCTCTTTTCTCACACGGAATCACCATCACCCGAGTTTATTTCGCCAACATTTCGGCTCACAAATCAAAGGCTAGCCACATTATATGCCAATTCTGGGAAAATTATAACGACCTCACTGCGACCTCGCTGGGAATCATGGTTAATAAGGGGAATCATCCCCAAATGGCCTTAATTCAGGTTAGTGAAATATTATAATTTACCCATATATATATATATCTATCCTCAATGGTACCAATGTATCCCCAAAATTGGTTTGCTTGAATTTCCCAGAAACGAAACTGGGGCCCCACTTTTTCCAGGACAGGTGGAGCTTTGAAAAAAAAACTCTGGCTCCGCACCGGTGGTGAAACGGCCGACCGCCCGGGGGCGCGAAGTTTTGGGTGGAGAGCCATCGGTGCTGATCTGACTCCAAGCTCAGTGCTTAAAGGGTCCCGTCTCTGGGTGCTGTTTTTGTTGAGGTGATTCCTAGCCATGAAATCATAAATATGTTGATGATCCCAATACTATAGACAGTTTAGATCAGTTTAGGGTTTTTCTGCTTGTTGAGGTAGAAATGTTGATGATGCCATGAGAATCATGAGATGTTTTTTTTTCCCCTGCCAGCTGCCAGGGTCCGTTGATTTTACATTCTGGTTATGACATTCACAGGGCTAGCCATGGTTAAGCCATGGCCCTAATCGAAATAGATGGTTTACCGAATTAAAAAATGGTGGATCTTTCCATGGTGGATCTTTCCATGGCTAACTGTTAGTTAGTCATAACCGGATGGTATGTCAAGTGTCCCCCTGGCCCAGCTAATCCACCTCATCCCTCTGGACCTCGCCGCCCCCGAACACGATGCCAGAGTCAGAATGCCAGATTTAATGGCTATGTCAGATAAACTGTCAGATAAAATGCTAGTTACAGTTACATAATGTTATGTAGAATATATATATATATATTGATATTGTTATATATATATATATACACATACATATGTCAGATAGAATTTCAAAATATGTAATCTCAGATGGAATGTCAGAAGATATGCCAGAAATGGTCAGAGTCAGAATGTCAGTTGGTGCGGGTTACCTGAAGTTTTTTTCTGTTTTAGCAATCCAGAAAATAGCATCTGGTTATGACGAACAGTTTGCCATGGAAAATCCCAACCATAAATGGAGGTTTCTAGCTGGGAAAATCATCCATTTCAATGGGCCATGGCTTAACCATGGCGAACTGTGAATGTCATAACCAGAAAATATCTGGTAAACCATGGCAACCCCCCAGGGGCCCGCAGGTCTCGAATTGGGCAGATCTCAACTATCGGTAGTAACTCGATCCTTGAAAAGATCCACCATTTACAGCTGGGTAAATCCACGAACTTTCTACGGGCCATGGCTTCAATAGCTATTTTGTTAAATAACCAGATGGTAGATGACTTAGATGTAGGAATGAAAACAGCATCCCACTCAAAACATCAACTGGTTCGAGGATATGTAAGTCTCTAAGTCTCTAAGCCAAGACATGTCTGAAGACACTGATCCAGCGACAACCTGGAGATGGGAGTTGCCCGGCAATGACGGCTAAAATGCTCGACGCAACCATCAAGGTACCCGAAAAAAATGGCGGCTGGCGGCCATGACGGCCATGACGGCCATGGCTTGATCTTGTGAATTTGCACCACTTTTGAACATACAGAACATTACTAGTTGGTGGTTTGGAACATGGCTTTTATGACTTTCCATATATTGGGAATTTCATCATCCCAACTGACGAATTCATATTTTTCAGAGGGGTGGCGAAAAACCACCAACCAGTTAAGATTGAGGCACGATTGCAAAGGAGAGCGACCAGTGCCATGGAGACATTTTTTCAGATACATTCCTGATTCACATTCGACATGCAAAAATCAAGGAAATCGGTAAAGATACATGCCGCATGCCCCGTATAGAAGCACTTTTTTATCGCGAATACACACATATGAAGTTTCCCTTTTCATAAATTTGGTGATTTCTGGATATTTTTCATCCACGGTCAAAGCTTGGACAACATATAACTTGGGGAATGGTCAGAAAAATGCATCATTTTTGGGATTCATATAGTGATGGGTCAACATGTCAAAACCTATGAAATTACCAAATTTGGGGGAATGCACATCAACAAAAACCAGCTATGTTCCCGGGTACCATCCGGGTGCCAGGGTAGCTTCACTGCCATGTATCCAATTTTTCGGACTCTCATTGTGGGTGGTATCTGACTCCAGTTTCGTAGGCTGCTGGATGTTTTTTTTTTCGAGTGTTGGTATCCCTATGATTTGAAGATATGCCAACAACCAGATGGCCAGCTGGCCAGCCTAGTTGGTGAATGGATAACTGAGAACTCTGAGAACTTCTGGTAACCCTTTTCCGGTGGAATACGGTTTCCGGTCCAAGATTGTCCAAGAATGGATAGCAGTGATACCTCAATCCATGGCCACCTTGGTGGCCATGGAAGTCAAGTCACCACTGGCCGCGGCCCCTGCAGCTGTTGAGAAATGACTTGGAAAGCCTGACCCAAACAAAAACATGGAAGCAGCATATCAAAACATTGCCTTGGACGTTTATATATTTACCTGGTTGTTAGTATCAGATAGCTACTGTGCTCACAAAAAAAGCTGCTTTGACACCTGACTGTTTTCTGGATCACCTCTCAGGTTTTTGTGTTTGTTCAGTAAAAACCCCACCATTAAAACACAAAAATTCCACATTGACCACCAGCTCTTCAGAGACCTCAAATGACATCAATGATCCTCAGTAAGTCTGCCCGCGTTTCCAGTAGCTTCAGTAAGCTTCACCTCACCCTGCCAAGTCACGCGGATCGGATGCTATGGACTCAACTTCCCAAGGAGTTGAAGGCTGAGAAACCTGGCACCAAAAAAACGGGAATTTTTTATGGCACCCCATGGCACCCCCCCAAAAAATCGTTATTTACCCTCTGGTAAACTAACATAGCTATTGAAAATGACCATTTATAGTGGATTTTCCCATTGAACATGGTGATTTTCTATAGCTATGTTAAATTACCAGAGGGTAGCAAGTTTAGGTACACTAGAGTGGATGATTGGATGATGGCGAAATCCGAATCACCAGTTGAAAACGGTGGGAACCATCCCAGCAAAT